CTGAAAACGGTCAGGCCAGGGCAAGTGAAAGCTCGTTTCCAACGAGGTCGCTGCGATGGCGGCCGCTTTTGGTATATGTGCTGTCGTGATCTCTTGTTGATTCTCCTATAGGAGGTGCTCTGCGGATCTCATGGCCGAGGGCGGCTTGATGACGGGTGGGCACCAAACCTGTTCTTCGAGGGAAATGCCCGCGCGTCTGGGTGATCTTGTTGGCTGCTTCCACCGTGGACAAACAATGATGCATCAAAGCCCATTCAAAACGCCGTAGGGCCACGCAAGGCCTTCAGAATGAGGGGCAGTGCAACACGGTCGCAGAGCATCTGGACACCCATCACCTATTCTCACTGCATGGGATCCGATCCCACAAGACAGTTCCGGAGGCGATAATGCTTGAATTTAACGTGAGAAGAAAGGCGCCATGCTGCTGACATGCCATCGTCAGGCATAAACAGATTCCATGACACCGAACGTTGATAAAATCTGGTCTTTCGGGAACATCCCACCTCTGGCTACTTCCGTTTTCACCAGAGCTTTCCCAGTGCCAAAACAGGCAGTCCTGGAAGCTATCCACTCGACCTCATCAGGTGTGATGTCCACCGGGATGATCTGTATCTCGAATGGTCCACCATAATCTTTCTGTGGGTATACCTTGTCGCAAATGCCCCGTGAGCAGGGGTTCGGGCTGCACTCCTGTGTTCCAGTACTGAGGTCCAGGCCCCCTGCCAGCGAGGTGCAACTACGTACTCGCCACGGACGGTCTTGGGAAAGTCTTGCTGGCCACCAACCTTCCACCTCCCACATGCCCACACACCGCGACGTGATATGATGTGATTCCTCAGGCAGGATATGGTGACTTCTTCGCCCTGCCTGAATTTGCATTCCATCAGGTTGGCTTGAGGGCCATAGGCCTCCTCCGACCACTCTAGCGCATCGACGTCCTCATCCCGAAGCACTCTTTCATGTCGCCCACACATGGTGAGAATGATGCATTCTGTCTGCCTCCTCTGCGATGGCGGCACCTTGTCTAAGCTCGATGAAGACCTGCTGGCTAGGCGGTGCTGTGCAGCATCTGCACGTGCTCGCGATTCGCATGCCAAGGCCGTACCGGGCCTCGACTTAGACGATTCCCGTAGCCCCACGCAGCAAACAGGCCTCCTCGCCCTCCTCCAAAGTGGAGCAGATCACTTGGCGAGGCCTGGCTCAGTCAACAGGAGCCTTTCAAGGGTGCAAGATGAGCAAACATGTCAGGCAGGCTTAAGTGTCATACCATCAGAGTTCAAGACTCTTTGAGGTACCTTGAGTTCGCCCAGCAACGCGACAAAAGCAGCGTGCCACATCTTTGCTTTGCATGTGGCCAGGATGCCCGAAAGGCATGAGGATATTTCTCCCTCTGGACTCGTGTAGCTGCAACGAGTGCCTTTCACAATGGCAAGAGGAAGACTTTGCCTTCGACCCAAGGAGTTCTCTGAGACATGTTCCAGCCAGCGCATGTGCTGTTTCCCGGCACCACATTGCACCTGGAAGCTGCCAGTGAGCGCACTGTCGGCGCACACGTGAAAGCAGTTCGGCCTCAAACTTCAAGTCCTGGCAATTGACAAGCACCTGGCGGCATAAGGACCAAGGAGTCACGAAGTCAATGAGATGTTCCACCCTAAATGCACAAGCAAGTACAAATCGGCCCTTGACAAACCCCAGCAGGACCGCATAACACTCAGTACGGCCAGCTGTTAGCTGCGGGCGAGAGTAAGCGGGTGAGTGAGTGAGCTGTTCCCCTCCCTGGACAGATCGCCTGAGCCGTCTGAACTATTGTTGTTCTCTTCATTCGGTCCCTAACCGGATCTGCAGCAATGCCCCTCTTTTGCAGCAATCTCTCAGTGCCACACGACAGACCAACCAAAGCAGCTAGCTAGTAGCATGTACGGTCCTGGCCTTCATGGCTCCTGCTAACTGCAGTTTTGCAGCTGGCAGTGCCTATGCTTGCACGCCTCTTGAGAGTAATGAGCGCAGCAGGTGTTGATCTCTCTGTCTCCCGCCGCTCCCTCCCTCGCATGCACACAACATCCAAAGCGACGGTACATCATGAGAACTTTTTCCACATGCTGGGCTGTTGCTGCAAGCACTGCATACCGAAGTTGCCGGACGGCAACACAACCTAAGCAAGCGAAGAATGCGGATGCCCGACTTGACGACGAGCACTAGTTGAGCGGCACACGTTGTAAAGCTCCTGGCTGTTATACGGCAGGAGGGGCATAGTTGCCTTGACTGGCCTCGCCGTCATGGCTGTGGCCCCTTGCCGCTTACGCATTCTCACCATGCTCCGCAACCTGACCTTGTCCCTGTAGAAGAAAATCCGGGATGCAGATCTCAATGAGCCTGCCACGCTTCATCGAACTCATTCGGTTTCATCTTCTTTGTTGCATGAAGCTGAGATGACGGTGGGGCATGTTGCACGTGCCACCTATGCTTTCACAAGTGGTTGGCACGCCTGTAAGAACTGAAATTACTAGGACGGCCCCGATCAGAATCAATGCCAGGACAATGGCGAGCAGGAGGTATCTCAAGCATAGCGCATTGCAAAGATTGCAAAGGAAAGCTTGCAGAATAGATCAAGCACGCTGAACGCTGAAAGCTTGTGCAGCCTGTCTTTGATGAAGGGCGGGACAAAGTCAGTGTGTGCGTCTTGCAGGGCACGCACCTTGGTTCATCTGTTTCTGAAGGGATATCCTTCGGCTTTCCAACCTTCCTTGTCATTGAAGCGATATTGCATCGCGCGAGCTGCAAGAGGTTTTGCTGCCCCGACTCATGCAACGCAGCTCAATTCGTAGGGACGCTCTTACTACTACAGGCTTGGCACAGGCATCATGCTGCCAAATCTGCCAGGATGGTTGACAAGTTTTGTGAAACATCTTTCTCAACCCACCGCGCTTCATCGTTCGCCGAGTTCTTAATTAAAGCTTGGTCCGAGAGATGCAATTGCCCGTGTGGGATGAGCATTCGACACTACTCACTACTGCATGGGAAAAGCACGCTCTGATCTGGATCTGGATCCTCAAGGGCGGCATCGTCCGATGTTCAATCCCTCGCATTCTTCATCCTCGACGACGCACACTTCACCGTCGACTCCAAGGCCAGACGGCGTGCAGCAGAAAGTATGACAATGCTGCACTGCACCATCTGCCTCAACCGTCCAGCCGTTGGCGCACTTGCACCCTTTTTTTGTAACACGCTCTTTGGGATGCTGCACTGGACCAGGTGCGCATGGTCCCCACTGCATGCCTTGACAGCTCGGATCCGCCACCATGCACCACTCTGCGTCTGTGTTGGTCGGATTGCAGCAGGAATCATGGCATTCCCCATGTCCCTCCATAGACCAGTCCTTGACGCAAGTGCATCCATTGGTGGTGTATCGCGGGCAGTTTGGTGCACATGAACCCTCAGCACTGCCTTCGCATTTCGAGTCGGCGACCATGCACTTCATGTCTGGTGCCTTTCCTGCAGCTGACTCCCAAGCGGTGTTGTGGTTGGTGCAGAAATTCAGGCCAGGAAAGTCCTGGCCCATCCAACGCTTGTAGCAATCACATCCTCTGCATGTTTTTCTGTTCCTTTCTGAGCTGTCCAGCGTCTCACTGCTGTCAGCTTGTGATGGGTCTGACTCCAGGCGACTGAGTGCCAGGTTGTCTGGGCCACGCTCAAAGAGGCTGCTGATGCCTGAGAGGTCTTCAGCGGCGACCAGAACGAGGAGACTGGAAACCAGCCACGCGCCCGCTGCAGCCATATGGCCAAGCTCTGGGGCAAGCTGACTTAGAGTCTTTTGAAGAAGCACATGGCAAGATGCCTCGAGTCGGCAATGTTGCGGCCCAGACAGCAGATTCATCTACATGAGCGATTCTTGGCTGCTCTATGCCTTGACTCAACATACAGCAGAAACAAAAAGCTCGGCTGCAGGCCTGAACTGCCGATCCAATTATCCAGCGGAGCTCCTGAAGAGCAAGCTGCTGAATTCTTGAAAACTGTCCAAGGAACGATAGCTTGGCCAAATGAAGGCATAAGCGTTAGAAAGTGGCACAGAAATCGGGGCACTAGAGTGAGGTCAGCCGAACAACCCACCTCCCCGGGCCCAAGAAAGTCTCCCGGCACCACTTGGCCCACACCGCCCTCGTTTCTGTGCCCGTAATCCATCAAGACGGTACAGACCATCACGGACGACACATGTCCTACAGTAACTACCACCTTTACTGGGAGAGATATTTCCATTATCTTATCCATCTGGTGCATCGAAACTTGCTGTGCGCAATGGTCCGACAGGGTGACTGGGTCGCATTCCGTTTCACTGGGTTGCCGAAAAGAGGATCAGTAGGCCCAGAAGCCTGCTGACATCTGCTGACGGGCGTCCTGCTTCAGCAAGCTGCTAGACAAGTTGTAGCCGCCTCTCTCGAAATGCACCGTGTAGGGAAGGATGTTGCCAATCTTAGTCTGTCACGGTTGCAGCTTTCAGGCCCTCCACCCTTGAAGCTGCAACCGCCCCTTCGCCGCAGCGAGGCCATTGGTTTCTGAATCAAACAAATCTTGGGCGCCGACGCTGGATCTCCTGCGGCAGGCAAGACGCATTGAACTTGCACGTGTCATGTGAAATCTCGGTTGCAGCACGAATCCTGGGCAGGGAGATCATCGGAATCCCGGCTCCCAATGTGGGTGACTCGGCTACCGCCAGTAGCCGTTTGTTGATGTCCAGGAACTCGTAGCGGGCCTGGGTTGTTTGGTAGCCAGCTGTGTGGTAAGCGTGGCGGAAAGCAAAAGTTAAAGTAAATGAGCTGGGATCACTTCGTTGCTTTTGCAAAGGCGGCTGGCTTTTTACAAGATGCATCATCGGTCGATGAGCCTGCATGGCGCTCCCATGCGCTCCCGCACCCCTGCTTTGCTGCACAGGTGAAACGCAGACGGATCGAACGATTTCCAATTTGCCCACAGACGCATCGCTGCAGCTCACTTGCATCAGCAGATCACAACGGAAGGCTCGTGTTCATCTGCGGCATGCGAACCTGCAGTGCCGAGAGTTAGTTAGCGGCATAAAGCATCCTTCCGATGTCAAGCGTGCCTTGGCATCATGTCGGCGAAGCTGCTGATTCCTCGAGTATTTCAGGCTTACCAAATACCTCGTTATTCTGACACCCACTCGGGCAAAGCCAGGTAAGGTCTGCAGACGACACTGGTTCAACGAGTTATTGGATCTTTCCATGTTCTGTTTGTCAAGGTCGCCATAGAAAGCTTGTGCCAGCATGTTCCAGCTCCTCCTCCTCAATAGATCCACAGCGGGTATGGCCTGATACATAACATCCGCCACATTGAGTCCAAACTCCTCCAAGTCCGGGTGCTGAGGGCTTGGCTTTGCCGTCTTGCCCGCATGACCTCTTTCCACACTCCACGGTTGCAAATCTTGCTGGCACCAGCTTTGCGTGGTACTGCAACTGCAACATGCTCACAGCGTAAGCTCTGGACCCACATGATGTCTTCGAGAATGACAGGCTCGGGGGCTCGGTGGACAGATCCTGCCGCGAATGTCATGCCCTTGCCTGCCCCTGATCGCAGAGGGACATACAGTGCGAATGTCGAGTTCCAGCTCAGGTGCCTTTGACCTTCTCCCCAGTGTTTTCCAGTTAGGCTCGGTATACTGAACGAAAGGTGTCATGTCCCGCTTCTTTTTGTGCGGTCGTTCGGATCACGTCATAATCCCTTTTCATGTGAGCCTTGGGGGGGGGTGCGGCGAAGCTGAGAATCCGAAGTGCTCTAGTGGTTTGCCCTGGGGCCAACCCGGTTTGGTCCAGGTGCAGGGCTTCCCGCGTGGCTGCTACTTCTACTCCCGCTCCTACATACTCCTTTTCGTACAGCTGCTACAAGTGATGCTGCCGTTTTAACCTGCCACCAGCACCACGACCACCACCACGACCACACCCACTGCCACTACCACTACCACGACGGCGACTACGACTACGACTACGATAACGATTACTGCTGCTGCTGCTGCTGCTCCTACTCCTACTACTACTACTACTACTACTACTACTACCCCTAACTACTGACGGCTGACTACCAACTACTAGCTACTAACTACCAACTGCTAACTACTAACTGCTAACTGCGAACTGTTAACTACGACTACGACTACCAACTACCAACTACCAGCTACTCACTACTAACTACCAACTACCACTACTAACTACTGACTGCTAACTAATACTAACTACTACTGCTGCTACTGCTACTGCTACTGCTACTGCTGCTGCTGCTGCTACTGCTACTGCTACTGCTACTCCTCCTACTCCTACTCCTACTCCGACTCCGACTCCAACTCCAACTCCTACTCCAACTCCAACTCCAACTCCAACTCCAACTACTACTACTACTACTACTACTACTACTACTACTACTACTACTACTACCACTACCACTACCACTACCACTACCACTACCAGTACCACTACGGCCACTACTGCTGCTACTACTACTACTACTACTACTTCTACTTCTACTTCTACTTCTACTACGACTACGACTACGACTACGACGACGACGACGACTACTACTACTTCTACCACACGACAACTACGACGACGACTACTTTCACCACCAAGGCTAGAAACCCAGTGTCAAGGGCTGAGGCCCCAACATAATGGACTTCGTACTCATAGAACAACGGCGTGCCCATGATCCAGATAGGCCCGTTTTGGACAGTCTCGTACTCGTACTCTCCGAAGAAGGGCATGCAAATAATTTGGTCGTTGAATCCGGTCGCAACCTTGTTCTCTGTCTGTCTTGCCAGCGGACAGTGCAGATTCTGCACGAAGTGCCAACCCCTTCGCCCTGAAGTCCAAGGTGCTACATAGGTACTCGGTGGCAAGCTGAAAGTCTGAGTCTTGCCCTCCACTCCAGCCACCTAGCCGCTGCCACATAGCCAGTACAAACAGACACAAACAGGGCGAACACCTGTGCCTCCAAGGGACATGCCAAAAAATGGCCGGCATTTCACGATCTAAGTCTGCCTGATCCATTCGAATAAACACTCGCTCTGCATGAAGTCGTCGTGGATGATCGCGAGTGCTAGTCAAAATGACTATCTGGCCACGTTAGGTCCAAGTGGCCGCATCTTTTGACCAGGATGCACAGTCTGCAAGTAAGGACTCGAACCGTTCCCTCAGAAACTCGAATGCAGGTTGTGGTTTCAGTTCTCTCATGCGAGGAACACTACTTATTTGGGAAAAGGCGGAGCCCCGATCCAGAGCGCTGCCGAGACACTTCTTGTCCAACTTTAGCTGTGTGGCTGGGTCCAAGTCGAACGGATTAGTGATGTGAATCTCTGGAATGCCCCACTTCTCCTAAGGACCAGTATGCTGCCTACATTGCCGACCTGCAGCATCCAGCCCGTATTGGCAGCTGGATTTCTTTGCAAGTGCTGGCCAAGATGCCAGTGTGCTCTTGATCCAGTCCTGGTGACCCAATGGGCTGAAGGCTGGTGAGAAAAAAATGCAGTGGGTTGGAATCTCAGAGGCTCTTGGCTCTTGGTGCACAGCCAAAGATCTCCGATTCTGCTTCCCATGGACGGCTCTGACTGCTCTTCGGAGGGCTTGGACGCCTTGTCTTCAGCGAAGGCCTGCACCCAGGAACTGCTCAAAAGTCGCACATCAGGAAGAATTCACTGGCTCGACCAAGCCTTGCTGCAGCGCGGCCACATATCACACAACTTCGAATAGAGCGTCCAGAGGTGGCGGCTGGGTGCGAGGATCAGAGTAGTCCCCGAGTCCTTGACCGCACGCACACTCATAGCAGGAAGATGAAATGAGGTCAAACATGTGGGCAGACTTAGCTATGACTGTCTGAAGAAATGCAGACTGCACTTGACAGGCGTTGCTGAGGAATCCAAGTCGGAACACTTGAGCCGAGCGTCGGGAATCAGGCCGCAAGCGGTCTTTTTGTCCTTCCTCAGATGCCAGCAAATTCTTGAAGCTGCAGTGCTTGGCTGAAAGCAACTTGATTCGGACTTCATGCTCCAACAATTTCTGCTCAAAGTCTTTTCGTCATCGCCGCACAGAATAATCTCCGCCTTCTCATCGCCGACGGACAGGCCCCGGAAATCGACGCCCCAATGGAACCTGCACAGGCAACCTTCCTTAATTACGAGGCGTCTTGCGTGTTTGTACTTGCAGCAGGGCAACTTTCCAAGGTTGCCAAGTGTTTCTGCTTGTGCCTCAGGAAGCAGCAGGGTCTCTGCTCCTACAGTGCCAGGTGCGTTTGGAGTGCAGGCGCGGAAAAGGCCGCAGGGTAAGGCTGGGAAAGTCGGCGAGCATGAGTTGGTTCCGAGGCACGCAAGTGAACAATGTGGAGACTGTTGGGGTGTTGCGACACAGCTCAGGTCATCCTTCCCAGGCTTGCGGCAGGCTTGCAGGGCTGCCGTGCATGCAAGATGCCGGGGAGTTGAGGCGTAGCATGCCATCCTCCTCGAGGGTTGACTGCGGAAAGCAAGACTAGTGGGCCACAGCAAGCAGTAACAGTCTCGAGCCTTCATATTGGAGAAGCACATGGAAAATCGCTGAATTGACGCAGTGACCAGCCAAGACTGCTGGCTTGAAGCATCTTGGTGATGCAAGAAAACATGCATTCAAGGAACCCGGTGAATTGCATGGGTCTTCATGCATGGGCCCTTGGAGCTCGGCAGATGTCAGCCTCTTTGTACGGGAGGCCGAGACCGAAAATGCCTCAGATCAAAAGACCACTCGCCCACCTTACCTTTTGGAGCCTTGTCGGAGAGAAGTATTCCTTTTCAGGCCAAGTTGAACTTGGCCGCCTTCGAAGTCAGATATGGCAGTGTCAAGCTCATGGTCATACCTGACTGTCTTGGCTCTCTTCTTGGTCTTTGACAAAGCTGTCAACGTGTCAAGAGCGAAAATGACCAGGAATGGGAGTCATTGCCTCTGAGTTGAAGTAAATCTTCAAGCGCTTGAAATCCAAGGTGCATGAAAATCACACTGCCATTCATCGTAGCAGATTCCTGGCCGACGGTCACCTGTGCCGGACCTAGTTACGTAAATGCGAGAGCGTCCGCATTTTTTGCAGGGGCTGCATGGCCGCTGGCCGACAGGTGCATGTGGCAGCGGATGCACCCCGTAAATGATTGGAAAAGCGTACTGATACAGCCCCCAAGACCGGGCCATGCATATGACAAGCGACGACGTCCGTGCCAACAACTCCATAGATCATCCCACTGCCAAATGTCATCCTCGGCACACGAAGTGGCTGCTCTTCGCACTCTTGGACTCTTGTACCATCTTGTGACTGTTATTAACTGCTATCACACATCATGTAATACCTGCTCATGCTATGATTAAGTATTTTGTTATTGCTACTTCCTGGCTCCGATCTCGTCACGCTGGACCGGATTCCTTTAAGGGTTCCTTTCAGGGTCCACTTTCCGATGCACCTGCTGAGCACCCTTGGAACTCTGAGATCATTTCTTTGTATTGTCTGCTGCACACCTCAACACCCCAGCAACTCTCCTGTTTGAAGGAATACTTGACCCAGCGCACACCTCCCACTTAAACCGCAAGCTCTACCGGCTCACTCATGGCAATGTTGAACTACTCGGCGATGTCTGATGGAACAGACCAGAAGGTCATCATCAATATTGCATGAAACATTGTTTAAGCCGCTGATCGAGATACATCGACATTGATGTTGCTGGTGCAACCAAAAGACGTCACCGCCCGTGGAGCTCCGGAACCGTCCCGCGGCACGTCAAACGTGGAGGACCGGTTTGTGCCTGAGTTGGGGGGTGAAATAGCAGGTGCCCGGCAATGTTTCGGATCTGCCTTCCTTTGGCAAGGCTCAACCCTAGCGAGCCTGTAAAGCAATTTCCAGAGGACCCAAAGCCTGAGCTGACAAGCCCAAGCTCTCAAACTGTGCTGCCGGCAAAAGTGTTGGCGTGCAGGCCGAGCAGCAACTATTTGACATGCATTCGCAGTGCGTCACGATGACCGCACTGCTGCCTTCCAGGCCCAGACAAAGATCCGATTGATTGATTGGTTGACTGATTGATTGGACTTGACGGCTGCTTGACGAAGTGCTGCCTGTGTCAGCGACAAGATCGAACTCTTGCTTTGGAGTTCCGACTCCGACCCGCAGTGCAGAATATGATTGTCTGTTGATCCTGAGCTAAGCAAAAAGAGCAAAGGCATGGGCTACCGGGGCCTAGGGAACTGGGCACACGGTTGGGGAAAGGAGCGCGAAATTAACTGCAAAACCTAGCAGCAATGGTGAACATGATTCAGAGACCCGGGTTTTCAGGCCGTTGCTGAGGAAGACATGGCAACCTACATCAGAAAAGCGCAGGCCAATTCTGCTCTCGGATCTCGGAACAGCTTGGGCCGAGGCAGAGAAAGGCCAAGCATCTCAGCCTGGCAGCCATGGCAACCTGCAGAAAGGCTCGGCTGCGCTTCCTCTACCGTGCTCGAGAACGGGACCCTGACCGCGTCTCTCAAGCCCGCCGATGGCTCTACCGGCAGCTCCACCGGCGGCCACCGCACGGCGCAGGCCGCGAAAGGCCCGAAGCTACGTTGGCTCAGCGAGCATCGAAGAGCGAGAGCGGACTCGCTCCAGCTCGAGCTCTCTGAGCTGGCAGCGGAAAGAGAAGCTTTTTGGGAGCATGAAGGGGGCATGTCAGACGGAACGCCAAAGTGAATGTGTCCACGGCCCTCTCTGGACAGAAACCTGGCAACTGCTGTGCACAATGAGGATGGGACGACGACAGGATCAGCCAGAACTTGAGTGACAATCTCCCCATCCTTGATATGGCACTCAAAGACCTTGAGTTGCTCCTTTTGCAAATACCTCCACTGTCCAATGCCCTGCCTTGTTGTAGATCATGATTCTTCCAGGCCGCTGCCCCTCGGTGACTTCCACTCGGAAGACGGCGGCTAGAGCATCCTGACATTGCGGGTTACATGCCTTCACGCCCAGAAAAACTAGCCGTTCAGTAGTTTGGTGTTGTGCGCGTGGGAGTCCCTGAGCACATCGGCACATCATGGGGCATCCTTTGCGGCTGGGTTCGTAGATTTTCTCACGAGTTTTATAACAGTCTAAGCTAGGTTTGTCTCAGGGTTGCCAGTGAATCAGGTTCGCCTTCAGCTACCTGAGCGGGCCAATGCGGGCCACACCTCCCGCGGCCCATTCGCCCGGGTGTTCGGGCGTCACAGAGGCTTCGGTCTTCTGGCAACTGATGTGATCGTGCTGACTGTGGCCTGGCAATCTGTGGCAACCCAATACCGCCACTTGGATGGATCCATGGTGGCTTCCTGAGATGTGTCAGCTGCAGTGCTGCGCCGAAGGCCATCAGACTCCTTCCCAAAGCAATCAAAGCGGCTCGCAGAGACGGTGAAGCCGTGAAAGTCGGAGGATAGCCGTCGGGATCTTTGGCGACCTCGGGGGACCCTCTTACTTGCACCCAACACTAGGCCACATGAGGCCGCTATAGGCCACCGGCTGAATAGTTGTTCGAGAAGTTCAGCGAATCGTAGGTAAAGGCGATAGCCTTTTGATCACAGCTCGTCAGAAGGAGGACTGTGCGAAGTGCGGACTGAGCGCTACCGGCTCAACTCTGCTGCCAAAGGCCTCGACACGCACCTTCCTCCCGCCCCGCCCAATGCTGCGTTTCAATGTTGCACCTTCCCCACTTCCTGTCTGTTCGGTGGCAACGATGCTGTAAGCGGTATCCGCATCTCCGTGGTTCCTATAGTGGACCCAGCAAGTACCGTGAGCAGCCTTCCAACCTTTCCCCATCGCCCCCGTAGCATCGCATCACCCGCCAAACAATGTCTTTCGGCCGGGATCCGCATGGACAGGAGCTGCACCACTGGCACTGAATGGCCCTGGTGTAGCGAGTAGCGAGTAGCAGGCGCAAAATGGCAAGTGGGCGAGAGGGGCTTCGATTCCACATCCTCAAAAGGCAAGGCTTCAGCGCGACAGGTGCAGCATGTGCGGAGTGCCGTGAGCACACTGCAGGCAGTGCGGCTGGCGGAAGCCACGCTGGTGCGCGAAGCCGTCGTCCGAATTCCATGAGGCGATGCCCTTGCCACAGAGAGGAGCTCAGCGTCAACTCCTGAAATCTGCAAGACGTCGGACGTCGGAACGTCTAAAGACCTCCAAATCCTGGAATCTTTCGCTGGAAAACTCCGGACGAAGCGATGTGTCTGTGGCGAAAGGCTGCGAAGGACCCTCCCTGCTGAAACAAACGCTCTGAGATTTATGTTCAGGGACATACAAACGTGATCAAACGTGGCCCCGTTTCAGACCTTTGGTGCTTCTCTGATTTGATGGATGCGTGCAGCGGAAGCCTCAGGTTTGCAAGTTTCAGGGCCCAGCTGAGACTTGACTGAGGCACATGGTGCGCTTCACGCACCCTGAACCATGCATGCTGCTCTTCCCACAGCACAAAATGTTGCTAAGAAGTATGTTCGTTGAGGAGGAGGCAGTGCCTTGGAAACCCGCCAAGCAATCCGGGCGACTGCGAGGGCCGGAGCAACAGTCTTGCTTGTAGCAGCGTGCCTCTACGCAGGAGCCTGGTGCCTCACGGAACACACGCCCACAGCCATGGGCCACCCGTGCCTGTGCGCCAGCGCGACGCGGACGTGGGCGCATGCGGGGCTCTCTTTCCCAACGCGCGATCCGTGGGGCGGCCCCCAATGACAGTTGCTGAATACGCTGAATCGCTGAAACTGTGATCGCGAAAGGAGCAAGGCATTTCTGGGGCCATTGCTGGCGCCCTCAAGTCCTCCATGAATTCCCAGCCTGAACCGCTCGGTGGTCAGAAGTTGCAAACCATCAAGTGTTGTCGTGGCAATTGAGTGCTTGAGTGGGCCTTTTTCACCGAAGCCATCACTACCTGTTTCCGCAATCCCGCACCCAAAATCTTTCAAGGTCATGGCTGCTCAACGCGCACCTCTCGATGCTGCAGGAACCCAGCCATACTGCTTTTCCAACTCCGCCTTTGCCATTGGCTTGGTTACCTCAGCAGCTCGGTCACAATAAGCAGTCAGCTGAAGCATTTTGTCGCGGTATGTCGCGGTCCTGAGGCCCATGCGGCAGACAAATGCCCGGAGTCGCTGGAGAAACGTAGCGTCCTTGGGAATTTGTTCCGACAAGTCGTGCCCACTACCCACGTGCTTCAGATCTGCGTGCAACGTTCAGTATCGGACTGCCAATCGGGGGCCATGAAGTCTAACTTCCAGGTCTGGGCAGAAAAATTACGACTTCAGCTCCACTCGGCTTCCGTACTCACTTGGCATAGCACTGTCGTCGAGGGGGAGTCTGGGTCATCGCTTAGCTGCCACGCACCCCACCTAGGAATCCGTAAATCTCTCTCAGCTCTGCGGCGGCGGTGTGTTGCATTGTTCGACTGCCTGTAAAACAAGTAAGCCTGCAGCTGCCCACCAGCAATTGAGGAGCCCATGGCCGTGAGGTACATAGAGTTGCCCGCCATGAACGGCGGTACCTTAAGGCACATCATGCCGTTCCAGTCGCTGCACACCGCTTATAGACCACAACATGGCACAGCACATCATATCATATCATTTCGTACCATGTTAGGTCCTATCATCTCATGTCATCATAAGAGTCTTAGTAATTAGTCAGAATGGCGCATAGTCCATCTCATATCTATATATAGACATGTATGCATGCGTGTACATGTACATATATATATATATACATAATGCTAATGTACTATTTCTTTGGCAGGCTTGTCGCGGGAAAATTGCCCCCTTAGCGCACGATATGTCCTGACGCCTCAACCTCAAACTGAATGACTGGCATGCATTGAGTTTGTCAGGTTTTGGCCTATGGGGTTAGCAAAGTCGATTGCTGTAGATTCAGGCAACAAAGAAGCCCGGACGTTGGATGCCAAAACATTCATGCGGATATGTTGTCTTGTCGTCGGATCTGATGGGCTAGCTTCGAAATTTCGTGTTGAGTCATGGAGTTGACAGCTGAATCTTCGAAGCCTGCTGCTGGCCACGTGTCATGTGAAACGCAGGCGACATGAATCAAGTTGCACTTGAGAAAGGGTGGTCCATGTTCTTGGAATTCGGTCTCGGATCAACTTCGAAGCCTCATCGTGGAACCTTCATAGCGACTCCGCAGGCGCTTCCATTCATCCATTCGCCCTTGGTTACTCATTGGTATGCCCTCGCCCCGTGCTTCCCACCCCATCCCCCGATTCTTGGTTGATGTGTATGGTTGTATGGAAAAGGAGTGCCCCGCCTGCCGCTGAACCTATGCCCGGTGGGACCGTGTGTACGTCTGCACTTGACAACGCACGCCAACTTCTGCGAAACGAATGTGTAGCCATTAGGCCCAGGTACGGGAAGGTACCAAAGTCTCAAACGCACACGCATTCAATTCTTGCTTGCAGGGCATGCGGGGTTGGGGGCTCAAGACCCCTTTTGGCTTTCTGGACACTTGAAGAACTCAAGTTTCATGCTGTTGAATCATACCTGAATGGAAGGCAATGTCGCAAAAGACTTGGCCCTTGAGCCGTAGCCATAACTACATACACTCTCGCTCGCTCACTGTCTGGCGGTCCGGGAGTCCAAAACAAACTGTGATCACATGCGATTTCTGCCAAGATGCACATGCTCCGTCAGCTTGGGCAGCTGTGGAATTCACCCGCGCGGGCTGCACGAGTGGTTCGCCGGAGTCGCTAGACTGGCATGTCATGCTGAGAGCATAGCTCACACAGCACTGATGCAAGTTGGTGCACCATGCCTTCTCAACCTGGAGAGAGCCGAGTGATGTGACTGACCTGATCTCCGTGAAGACTCCGGTTCGTGCAAGCTACTATCCGACAGAAAACCGCTGCATGCAAAATTAATTAACCCTGTGCAGCTCATTATCCGCTCATACGCTAGCCGTCCCTCGCAGATGGCAAACGGCACCAGCCTGTCGCGCGACTGCCAAAGGGAATGGGCCTCAGGCACAGCAGGAAGCGTTTCATCGAGAACAACAGCTCGAGTAGCAAGGCATAGTTGTCCTTTTTTTTCCCTTTCCAAGGGCGGGCCCACATTACTGCAGCCTGCTCGGAGCGCTGTGGCCAGAACCGAGCAACAAGCCCTTCCAAGGCTTGCTCCGCATGGGTCTGTGCTCAGGTGCGTGATGCTGCGTGGGCCGCGGTGTTTCGAATATGGCAATCCGCTCGTTCTCTCGTTCTCCTCGATGTTGTCCGAGACCGGCCTCAACACCAGTGCGGTCCGAAAGCTAGTTGCCTTTCAAGCTGCACCACCACTGCCACGTCTGATAGCAATCGTCCCAAGTGAACCAATCCAAGTTGGACAGGAAGAACAACACTACAACCCACAGGAGAATTGCGTAGAAAATGACATACGAATCTGGATCGACATCGGACTTAACTTCTTCCCAGACTTCGTCTCGCCAGTTACTCGCAATGCTGTCCTCGGTATCTGGCTTGTCCATCAAATCGCGGTATGCTGAGGTGATTTCGGCAAACCGAGCCGAAGCCACAGCGGGCTCCAAATCTGTCCTCTTGTCCGGGTGCTCAGCGGCAGCAAGCTCCCTGTAACGGGCCTTGATTTCTTCTTTGCCAGTCCCACGCTGCAGCCCTAGGATTTTCCAGGGTGAGGCTGAAGTCTGCCCTGCTGGTCGACCGACCCGCCCGGGATGCCTCCCTCGATGGAGTCTCGGACCTCCTGTCGAAAGCCCCATCCGACCGGCCAAGAGGCACCGACCCCTCATCCACTCCGTGAGCCAGAGGTACGAGTAGAAGGAAAGAGCAAAGAAGGCCAGGTGGCCCAATCGAAATCTGCGGCGCATGCCTTCAAGCCTTCGGTCTGCGTAGGATGGGGCGTTAAGGCTTCAGGCCTTTGGCAGGCGACTGCCTCAGGTGCAGCAGCTACTACTCCACATCAATCCTCAGCTGGCTGACTGTTGAATTGCCCTTGCCGCAGCAATACGAGCAGTGAGACCTACAGGCTTGAGCCGCCAAGATCTGCAAGGAATCTCTCACATGGGAGCTTGAGGACCGCCCTTGCGGCAGAATGAGCTCATCGATTACTTGATCTGACGCCTGCCTACTCCGTCAAGCCGCAGACATGCAACCCAACCCACAGGAGGCACTTGTTCAGCTCGAGATGCCCACATGCTGGCAACTTCAGGCCGCAGCACGAAGGCATGTCCATGCAAACAGCAGCCATGTCGAAGATGCTCTCCTGCGTGCTGCTTGCTGAAGCTCGCAGACGGAGACGCACTGCCAGATACCACGAAGCTTTGAAGATATGCCCACCTCATCACAAAACAGCTGCACCTGCTGGCACCTACAGCTGCCATGATGTTGAAGCAATCGGCGCAAACAACCTCGGGCCTTCGGAACACTGCGCGACAAGGATGCACAAGGCCCGGGCGGGTCTTCTGCCAGCAGGACTCCGGGCAAAGTTGGCCTCGCAGCTTGGTGCCCACAGAAACCACTGAAGCCTCTGGTTACTACAGCTGAGTATCTGACCTTGTAAATTTCCAAAGGCCGAAATGTAATTACGCTACCGGTCGTGCTAGGAAGGGTCTGAACCAGCAAGACCGGCATGTCAATCCCTCTCTTACGCCATCTCTGCAGCTAGTGCTGTGCATGGACGTCCAATGGGTCTAGAGTCTAGAGCTGCAGCAGCATTGCTAGCGAAGCTTTTGTGCAAGCGTGCCGGGATGGAACAGCAGCTGCCATGCAGCAGCATCCAACTGCGCCATCTCGTGTCACCGTCTAGATCACTGAGATCATGAAGGCAGGCCATGCAAGCAAATGTCCTGCTCCTCGGCTCACACAGAGACTGGCCCTAGGATCGGTTGTAGAGGACACCCCCAGTCTTTCGGGGCTCGCACTCGAACACTGTAAGCAAGGCAGGTGCAAGAGTCTGACATCCAATGCTTCAACCAGAGTTTGTAGTCTCACCCTCGGACACTCCAGGCTGCCCTGCAGGTTCTAAGAGTTGACCGACTCCTATTGCAGCTTCAGGCTGACATCTTCACGATTGTTTGCCAAATTTGAATTTTCCAGTTTTCATGAAACACCTGCCATCTGCCCAGATGGCTTTCGCTCTGTCCCTGAAAGTATCTCTTAGCTGGATGTGCGCATCGCAGAGGCATCATCCTCCAAAGTTTCCAGTCTGTGGCCGCATCTAAGCTCGCCGAGCAGCATCCAAGTCGTCCACGATGTCTCGGCCACATATACGCTCGTGATCGAGAGACCGGCGCGCATCGAGATCAATGAACTCGGGACACTCGGAGAGGCGTGCGACGTCCACGTTGAACCTGTTCACTGCCACATTCAATTCCAATTCTTGCCTGGATGAGTCCTGACCGCTTAAAACGTCTAATGAACCCCGAAACCTGGTCACGATCTCAACATGTTCAGTTCTGACATCAGCCGAGTGGCGTAATCCTTGTGAAATCACTCCGGTTCGCACTGCGTCGATGGAAAACATGCGAAGTGCGCAAGATACACATCTGCCAGGCATCAAGCACCAGAGACTGTACACTGGGCCTTGTGTCGGCGGCACATGCCAGATCTGACAGTTCAACTGTCATTCCTTTCTGTGCGAACTGGCGGGCGCGAGCTGCAACTTCTGAATTCATCTCACCAAACATGAGGCATTCTGTGCAGTTAGAGGCTGTTGATGGAGAGGCAGAAAGAAATATTGTTCGCACCTCGCCGAGAGTGGCATGTGACAGAAAGCAGGGTAGAGAGAATGCAACAGCTCTGCACAATCGGACCACCTAAAACTCAGATCCCTCATACCCCCACTACCATACCTAAACTTGCTTTGGCATGCCTCTGAAAAATGCTGTGCATAGTCCAGATGGAAGGGCTGAGCCGGAGAGCCCGGCGGCGAGAAAAGCAGACGAACGCTGATAACATCCATGCCAGGTGTAAGCGACGTCGCAAGGCTTGCAGCGTAGTCTCGGAGAGCAGCCAGGTGTCTACTGTCCGCCGTCTGCCTGCAGTACCGTCAGAAGCTAAGCCAGGCCATCTAACCCAACGTATTGCGAAGATGGGAAAGACTTCAGGCACACAACAGCAAAACAAAACGCACGCGCGCACACACACACACACATCCACACACGCATGCAAGCAGAGCCCCCAAACCTGGCCTTGCATCCCCAGTATTCCTCCCCCAGATCATGTAGTGAAAGGGCTCCGTGGGCTGGACAGCCATTGCTTCGCAAACAACCTTCGTCAAAAGCATTTCTTTTTGACAGCAGCGGCACCACTCAGACTGATGCAATTGATATCTTCTCTGCCTGCGCCAGCGCTTCGCGAATCTCGTCTGCAATGCCGCCATTGCTCACGTACTCTACGTCCATCAAGAAGCAAAACCAGCAGAGTTTTGATGCTACTCTAGCGGTGCTTGCAAGCAAGGCTCAGCACCACGTGTTGGCAACTGCACGTGTCAATCAGTTTTTATTTGCTGATGTGGAGCTTAAACCTGTGCCAGGACCAGGGGGGAATTACCATGATGGTTCCTGGTGTTCCTGCCGAAGAACCCACATGTTTCAGTATCTTGGGCAAAGTCGTAGGAGCTTGGTTCTTGGCGAAGCCGTGTCCTGCATCGAATAGGGCCGGCTCCTTTGAGCCGAAGCTGGGGTCTTGGCAGATGCTGCACTCGTGACGGACTGCGCAGGTGCTGGTGCACTTCGAGGGCAGCAAAGAAGCCACAAGCTTATCTCGCAGCGATGCGCCGCGGAGCAAGCGGCAATACGCGGCAATAAGAGTGGGGGCTTTGCCAACGCCGGCAAAGGAAAAGTTGCAATCGGGCACCAGTCGGAAGCGAGAGCCCGAGCCCGGCCCGGTATTTTTAATTCAGGATCTTGCCACCATGACTGCGGTTGAGGTTCTCACATCGGCCCCGAAGCAGAAAGTCCAGGACAAACCAAGTGACGTTGTTCACAAGCGGCTCCGAGGTGACATCCTTAGAACCGTGACGCAGAGTGGAACGGGTCGAAGCTTGAAAGCGGAATTGGGCGCCCTCTTCAAATCTTAGCAACCAATCCAAACAGGTTGCAAACTCGATCGTGTCCTCCACCAGGCTCCCACCCGCAGGACTTGTTTTGACCAGGTGGGTATGCACGAAGCCACCGAAGAACGGCCCGATGGCTTGTTCCTAGGCTTGCATCGACGGGCGAAGCAGGGCTGAGCCCGCTTGTGACACTTCTGACAGCTTTCAATCAAATCAAAACGGCCAACATGTTGCCAAGGAACGTAAGTCAGTTGGTAATCGGCGCCCGAGCTGTTACATCTCTCGCATTGGGTAACTTTGCTTGTCCAAGGGAACGGGACGACGAATGCTAGCCTGAGGCTGTGCAGGTCGGATCTAGCAGGAGGCAGCCGCTTGCTAAATCGAAAAGGCAAAGTCTTAAACTTAAACTCTGGCTGGGAAAGTGTTGGTCGAGAAACATCCAGTAGTTGAAGAAGAGAGGCAGCTCTAGCTGGCTTTTCTGCTCCTCGGCTTCAAAACTCCCCACTGTCGGGGCAAGATGCACACGGAAGAGCAGTCCTTCAGAAGCTGCGGCTCGGATTTGGCCAAGAAGTCTTCGATGTCCTACGAGTACCAGCCACTGAGATACTCCAAGAAGGAATTTGTCCTACGGGGCATTAACGACAAACATCTTAGACTTATATATAGACTTGGGAGAACTGGTCCGCATCATGCAGCAGATCAGTCTTGCCGGCACGGCCTGCTGGGACTTCTTGCGAATTATCAAGCGAAACCAGAACCTCATGTGCCAGATGCGCCAGTCAGGAGCTTGGCGTCTTCCCTCTGAGGTGCGAACGGCGTCGTTTCATCAAGAAGGCGGGGATTCCGAATGACGGCAAAAGCTTGGTCTGTGTTGAGATTCTGCAGAGTGAAGTCCACCCGGACCTGAACTTGGGGTACGAGTAGCTTCTGCCAGCCAAGACAGCCCCGCCGACGTGGACACTCAGCTTCAGCCGGCTTGTGGGGTCCCCGGATCTTGATGTAGAGGGCTCCTGGTTTGGAAAATTGCAGCCACTTTCAAGGACCCTCGTGCAAACAAGGTACAACAGAAAAGGGGTCCACTACCCTGGGACTGCAACCAGACTCTGTAGCCGAAGGCCGCAGCACAGCAGCCGGCAGATACCAAGAGCACCGGCATGGCAGGGCAGCTACAGCAACTGTCGGCTATTAGGCTGATTCACTTTGCATTGCTCCTATCTGTTCAGGAATCAAGCTCTTTTACCATGTAGAGCTGACTCATTGGCCTCCTGGTTGCACCTTCAGGCCGCAGAGATTTGCTGCGGCTATGAGAACCAATAGAAGCTCCAAACCACTGCCTCCCGTTATAAGAGCTGCAAACAAATGACGTGATGATGTGTCGCACACGATGCCCTTTCCTTGGCAAGGCCTGCAGCGCAGGAAATGCTGGACATGAAGGGACAGAGTCAGGTTTCCGGGGAAGCACCGCTTCGAGCTCTTTCATCTGCTGACACTGTCGCAAGTTGGCTCAGCAGAGGCTAAGCTAAGGCTGACCTCACTGGGAGGAGACATACACCAGCATGGACCTGAACATGTCAGGATGGGGAGAAAATCACAGGACCGACCCAACTGCTACCGCCACCAGATGGGCCCGCCGCCACTTTGGAATATTTATGCTGATTTTGCCGGAATCATCTGCCTTGCGAGCCAAACCGGTACTTCAGTTCCACAACAGTGGCTGTGCTTCATCTGGCTCGAGCCCTGCTCTCCGTAAGGACTGTTTTCGTCGACCTCAATGCGCTTTCTCTTGAGTTCTCTGGGCCGTTCTGCTTCGTACATCCCCAGATCTTTTGGGTTTTGGCGAGCAGCTTCCCTCAAGTCTGGCAGCATCTCCTTGGAACTCTATGGCGTGAAGCTGCGGGGTGAGCTGGGTCTGGGACTGTGTGCTCAGAACAGTATATAGTATAGTGCCCCCATATATGCACAAAGCATACACCACAATTTCGCCGGGGAGCAGCGAACTCATCATCCTCCTGCAGTGACCGGATCTCCTCCTCCTGCGCTGCCCTCAAAGCTCTCAGAGCAGGCCCATCCGGCATCGAACACCTCGGTTCCCCAGCATCCCCGATGTCAAAAGCCCTATATAGTTGGTACCCTTTTTGTTGGGTCCTTCAGCTCGTCCTGGTTAAGGAATCCTTGCAATGAAAGGGCAAACGGGTACGAACAGGGGGCCCAGATACTCTAAGGAGCTCAGATACTCCTTCGAGTAGATCGCCGGAGCAAGAAGGCGCTGGAGCAGCGGAGGCCATGCTTCCCCCCGTGGTGCGTTCACAAGCTCACCGTCCAACCACACAGTCAGTAACCATCGTTGATGGGCCTAGTTAGTCTCAGGGTGCTGTCGGGCCGCGAACATCCACTTGAGAAGTCATTGAACATGAACCTCCGATCAAAACATGAGTTTGAAGCAGGCGCTGGCCTGGCCCTCTTTGCTTGGCGGCAGCGAGTAATGCAAGATACGATCGGAAAGGAACAGAACGCCGCGGTTGAAGCAAGGTGTGACGGCCACCCTGGAACCCAGAAAGGGTTGTATGACCAGCTCTGCACCAAATTCCGGCTTCCAGTCGGCGCTGAGATACAGGAGCCAAGTTATTTGCCGTCTTGGTGCAGTCTCCGAGGTGTCATAATGGCAGGGTGCACTTCCAGCAGGCCCCTTCGTCAGCTGCAACCTTAGAACAGAAAGGCGAGAAGCAGAAGAAATTGTTTGACTTGGGTTCGGGGCTGGATCAATGCCTGCGAATTGCGTCCGGCAGCCAAGATGCTTCACTTGCACCTGCGACACATCGCCCATGCTACCTGCCAGTGCAAGCCACGGCAGCTGTTCCACCAATGCTTCTGCCAACGGTACAGCAGCTTCACGTGCAAAGCTCGAAAGGTTCGGTGCCAAGGCAAGATCCTCAACAGCCTCAGCTCCATCCAAGTCCACGAAGCTTCCTGAGCCAGGATGCTCGCTCAAGCTAGCAAGGGATAGCCTAGTCCTCTTCAAGGAATTTACGACACCAGACAGAAACAGAACGGGAAAGAAACCGGTCGGCAAGTATCGCCCCGGATGCCTGTACTCACAGCGCTCTCCAGCTGTTGCTTGAAACTCGAAGCAGTGTGGACGTAACATGCCCGCTTCCTCCAGCAGTTGGCATTCTGATGCAAGCGCACCCGCCCAGTCGTCTGCCAAGCAATGGTCAACGCTGGCCCAGCCCTGCTCTGCCAGAAGCGCCGCGCTGCGCGAAACAACAGAGCTAATCGAGGCTTTCTTCGCCATCTCGGGACGCACAAAAGCAACACCCGGCGACTCTGCAAAGTTATGCGGGTGTGCCATAAGAGCAAATTCAGAAACAAATTGCTGATTTGATGTCATCCTTGCAGATAACGCCGGTACATTGGTGCACTTGCCACTTGCATAGCTATGCTTGAGAGTACGCTCCCGGTCCCTGGTGCTGCCAACAAGAACCGGATGCTGCTAAGTCGTTGGGTCCAGCCTAGCTTCTGTACGGGAAGCTGGGCACTAATGTCGGTACGACAGCTTCTTCCGAGTTTGCACGTGCTGCTCTGTCCTTCCATCAGCCTTGCAAGCCGCAGATAAGCACAAGACGGGGCGTCGTGACTACCGACACACCTGCATTTTGTGATGCATCATGCCGACCGGCAGACCCCTACTAAGGCCCTACTAACTGCGGGATACAGGACTTGTAGTCATGAATGTGTCGCGGTGCGTGTTGTAGCTCTTTGACTCTTTGCGAAGCATGACGCACCTTCGCCTCCGGGGTGGCACTGCCTTCCCAGCCACCAAACCTGACTACAGGAGATGCAGAGACTTCGGCATGAGGTGACGAATGTAGCTTAAACTCATTCGGCACACTCAAAGCATGCCCTGTGGTTACACGTTTACATCAAACTTCAAGCTGGCCTACTCACCTACTCATACTCCAATCCCCCAGAGGCTCCCGCTCTTTGGCCTGGGAGTTCAAGACCAGCTTCCAGGTTCTGCCTTTCGCTGAGGGAGGTGGTAAAATTCTCTCCGAATTCTGTCCGAGTGCCTCCACCCCAGCCAGTGCTAACCTAGGCTTCAAAGGGCTGCACCATGTTCTGCTCTCCAGTTGCAGATCAGATGTGCCTGAACAACACAATACTGGGAAGCAGGCCCCATAGCTGTCCTTGAATTGCTGCGGCTCCACATGCTCATCATGCGGTGCTAGTGTCAACAAGAACTTAGGGCCGCATTCTTAGCCAGCGGCACTTTCCCACTGGGACTCAGCCAGGTGGGCAATGCAAAGCGCTGCCGTCTCCTGGCCAGATTCCTCCCTCGAAGCACCAGATACCAAGGGGCAGCCGCCAGCTCTATCGGTCCTGGGTCCAGCGCATGAAGGCCAAGATTGTGCTGCCACCATCCTGCTGTGATCTGGCAAGGCAGATACAAGTAGTATCAGAGTCCAAGTTGTAAGATCTTGTTGGCCAATGCCGAATACGCCACGAGAGTCTGCGCCCAAGCCATCACACGCATGGCAACATCGCAGCTCAGAAAGACTTCCTCATGGACAAACTTTACCTCGTCGCGTGTGAGCGGCTCCTAAGCAAAAACAACAGGCATCTTGTCTTCCAGTTAGGTCTGCTCCACCACAAGCAGCTCAGGCTGTGGCACATGAGACTCTCAACTTGTTAGAAGCAGTTACAAACGCTCGCATCTCTGCTGTGTGCGGATCGCCGCCTGCACCGCTGCAGCTTTGCCCACCATCAGGGCAATCACCACTTGCAGAAGCGGCCTTCAAGCAGCCCCCAATTGAGCCGATGATGCTTGTCCTCGGTCCAGCAATTCGGGAAGAGGCCGAACATGTTTCTGCCAGGGTGAAGCGCTGGCACAGTGCAAAGCGGTTCACCAATGGTGAAGCACGTCTCGACCGACCTATCTCTTGGGCAGACTATGGCGACATCACGAATCGTTTCGCCCATCTCCAATTCTGAAAATCTTAGTTGTCGGCCAAAGCCGGGTGCAAGAGATATCTTGCTAAGTCTCTTTTCGACGAACCAGATCAAAAAACTGACTTCCCTTCCCGTCGTGTCGGGCTCTTGGTCCCTCCGTGTTGTCTGAGCACGGCGTTGCAGAGCAGAGTGTGGGCCATGAACATCAGAAAGAAACTGTGGTCACGGCAACATGCCACCAATCTTCTTGGAGATTCTCGGTGCCTGTCGTGTTCACATCATCTGCATGCAACCTCCAAGTCTTCACCCGAGCTCCCGATCAAAGAGCCGAGTCGGCCCATGAAGGTCATCGGCAGACCTCTTGCCAAGAGCGGGAGTGAAACAAAAAGGCGTTAAATGCATGCCCGGCCCACCTTTACAGCAGTTCTGGAACCCAAACCACGCTCGGCACTGCCTTAATCAAACAGCGGCGACGTGGACACACTTGGGATCACGCGCTTTCGAGATTCTGAGACATACACGCACGCGCGTGCCAGTTGCCCTTGCCACCAAGCCGGCTGACGTAATAGCGATGGGTTCCGTGCCTCACAGCACACGGTGCAGGACTCTGAACAGTGCTTTGGCATCGCCGCAGCGGTACTAGTAGGACTCTAGGACCAGGGCCCATCTTGGTTTCCGTTGTGCCTGTCTCCAATCTGGTCATGCCTTCGCACACTGCGAGCTTACTCTCCGAGCTCCGCGTGCCTGTGCTTGAATTATTTCTTGGCTGCTAGACGTTTGTCCTGCTCTGATGGAGGATCTGGGGGCCAGTCGATCCAAGCAAGGAGTGCACTCCGCCAATGTTTCCAAAGCCGTGAGGGGCGACCTTATGCAGAGATGCAGAGATCTTCATAGCTCAAGCTCAAGCAGACTTGCTTGTCATCGGTTCCCTTGTACGCTCTCGCTGCAGTGTAGCACAACACATGAGTACTGCCTCGTCGGTTGAGGGACAGACCATGTTCTTCAGCATGCCCAGCCGCTTGTTCGGATCGGCGCCTCCATCAGAGCCCTTCATGATCTTGACCTCAGCAGTCACCCACGGCTCCACGGAGATCTCTTCAACAGTTGACAGAGGGGGGTCGAAGACGGGTCAGAGATCCCTTCCTGTACTAAGCCGTGCACCACTGCCGAAATTCCAAGGCACCAACCGAATCAAAGTGAGTAGCATGCAACCAGCAAGAGTGGAACCTCGTCCAGGCACACAAAACACCAGGCATCACCACGCATCTTGCCTGATGCCATTCCACTCTGGACATGGCCTGAAAGCCTGTAAGCCTATGGCCCAGCATCGTGAAGCACCTTGCGTAGCGTCAAACATTTGCCGAACCAGCTCCAGTCACGTTCTGCGTCCATCATGCCTTGCCTTCGGGTTCTCTGGCGTGATCTCCGCGATGAGGATTTTGTCTGGATAGTGCGCCTCTTGATGAGGATCAGTCTTCACAAGTATCTGCATGCGCCGTCTCTAGGCGGTGGTTGCAGAAGATGATGCGGTGCTTTGCTGGCTTTATGCTCCATCATATCTCAACACGCTTTTATAGCCGCTTGTGCCGAGCTAGGTGAATGAGCCAGTTTAGCTATGTGTAAGAGGATCCGCTATGTGATCGGCATCGTGCCGACATTTCGTGTAGGCTTCGCATGAAGAAGGGCTGCCTTTCGAGGATCGGCGCTTGTTCATTGCTTTGCTAGCCGTCAATTGATTTCAATGTTTTCTCGTCGCGCGGCACGCGGTCTGTTTGTCCTTCTCCTAGTCCTAGCCGCTAGCCTACCGCGCTCCGTCAATGACTCAACTTGTGATATGCGAAACCAGAAAACTTTTGATTGCGACTGCAAACTGGCAGTCACCCAGCCCACGAGCTTGAAACTCACAGACGGGAGCAGGCGCCTTGATCTCAAAGGTCAGCTGCTGCAACAGCCACCAAGGCCTGTCCGACCCCCTAGAATCTAGAAAGCATTCCGAGCGTAGAGAGCTGCAGGCTTAGGCAGCCGCATGTTGTGCACGGAGTCGAACCGCAAGCCGTCCACCCCGTACTCTTCAATGCAAGTCCGGCAAGACTGGAGGCAAGGGAGGCAACCCATGCCAGAGCGAGTGAGTGGCCTAGCAAATTGGGGCCTGCTTGAGGTAGTCCTGCACCTCGGCCTTGTGAAAGGCAAACCGCTTCCCCCAAGGCCTGAGACAGCCCAAGATGTAGGCGCATGACCGTAAGCAACCCACCCGGTCTCACTCTCTTGCCAGACAGGGCACGTATCCTTCTCGCCCTCGAAATAGATTCCTCCACAGTTGTCGGGCCCTGCGCGATGCAGTCATAGCTGAAATAAATCTCATTCTGGCAACGCATTGCACGTCCATGCCCGTCATAAGTCGGCTGCCAAAGCCGTCCCAATTCCAAAGAACGTTCATCTTTGATGAGCCTGTGGTCCCCGCCGCTTGATGCTCTCAGCTAGGTGAGCTCATGCACAGTCTTACTCGGACTCCAGGCCATGATTGAGAACGACGTCAAAGAGCACGGCCATGCCGAGGCTGTGCCTCTGCGCCAGGCCAGCGGCCAGCAGGTCCAACCAAAACTCACATCAAAACACTTTGCGAAGTAAGTATGTACAAGGGGGACTCAACCAAAAGAATGCGAGGTATGCGTGCTACGGAAGCTACTACTCGTCCGTGATGGACATCATGCGCGAAAGTGCCGATAACCATTCAGATTCTTGTGACATTTTAGTCTTGACTTCTCGAATTACATGGCTAGCCAGACGACTGCATAGTGATTGCCCGGCTGCATGGCCGCAAAACTGGGTGCTCCAGCGCGCGCTGCACCATCGCATGCATGTCGGCCGCCGACCCCCAAGGTCCGTGCCTCAGTGGCCCCACGCACAAACGCGGAAAGCCAAGGTGACTCTGACAGGTCCCCTGCGCCGCCAAGAGCTGCCGCGAGTTGTACCCCCAAATGCCGCCGAACTCAGCCTGACATTCTGTGCCGACATACCAGCATCACGAACGGCTGCTTTACAAGCTCAGTCAAACAAGCCGGAACCAGCTGTGGGCATGAACTGAATGCAGTTGAAGCCTCACACGGGATCAAGCCAAAATAAGAAGCGATGACGCAACGCCAAGCAAGATGCTTGTGTTGCAAGCCCTGGTGTTCGCTTTCGATCTATGGGTTCAACCCGAGAACGCGACCCAAAGATGCTATGTGCTCAAGCTTCTCGGTTGTTGCAGCGAAAGCTCGTCCTGCAAGTCTTCGACGGCTGCAGAAGCATTCCGCTCGCGGTCTTTGGGCTCCGGCGTTCGTCTGCTTCGGATACAAAGCTGCCGATCTGAGCTGGGCGGCTGGGTTCGGTGGTCGTGTGCCGAATTGGTCCAAGGCTGAAGTGAAGGCTCCCGGCGTGCAGCTCGTAGATGATCAGCTCATTGAACTTCGGAGCTGTGAAAGCTGGAGGAGGCGTCAGCGGAGGATGGAGTATACACCTCAGCGGCCGAAATCAGAATCCATTTGCGGAGATGAGGTTCAAAGTTCAAGCATCCAGCCAGGAAGAGTTGAAGTCGCACTCTCGAGCACATGGGTCTCGACGAAACAAGCGTGCTCCTTCCTCTCCAAGTTCACCCCGTTGGTTCGTTCGTACTACCAGAAGCTCATAAACGAGGCTTGAAGTAACTAGTTTTGACAAGCCGTCCTGGTGAAAGCAGTCGTTCCAACTCGAACCCAATGCAATCCTTCGCCAAGGAAAGCTTCCATTTTTTCTGCACCCAAGCTTTCCGTGCTGGGGCTTTCACACGCAGGAGAGTTCGAGCTGTGCAAACGCTGCTTTTTTTCTGTGGTCTCCCTGCGATCCAGCACTCCAGCCGCTGCCTTGCAGGGCAGTGCTTGGAGCACAACTGCGCGACCAGCAATAGATGCCCTGCCTCTGCGTCAGACTGGTTCCTAGCTCCAGTCATTCGTCAGTCCTCTTCATCATCGCCTCCACCTCCGCCACCTCTCACGGCTTCAGTCGTTGCGAAATCCCTACACTCTACAACATTTGGCGCGATGGAGTACCATCTGGGCCTTTGGATGCCATCATCTTGCGGCGAACACGGCCTCACAAGCATGGTGACTGCAGACGTCCCATGGGCGTCGGCACTCACAACTGGGACATGCGTGGCGAGGTTACAACAGTCTGCGAAGGAAACTGCATTGGCCAACAAAGGTTCATCCCTCTCCACTAAACCCGGCTACACACTACACGTTCTGGTCGTCGTTCGTTCCATCTCACACTTGCGGCGCTCATACACCCCCGTCAACCAGAATGCAGCAGTTCTTGGTCATGCCAAAGGCGGCCGTTCGTGCGACACTGCTGTGACTAGTTCTCATGCAGGAGTTTAGGATAAAGCACGTGGCAGCATCTCCCCAGTAACCGACGCATCACATGCTCTGTATCGCATGGAGGACCCTTACAAGGCGTAGAGGATCTGAACTCAATACACTCCCGTTTGTTGTCGCTACGGCAAGATTTGACTGAGCTGCTATCCAGCTCATGCACAATAGAGCTACGACGGGAGTGATACCATGATTCTAACACCATCCCGCAGGTACCCGACTTTGAATGTGGCTGCAAGCAGATCCGATGGTGGTATGGAGCATTATATGCTATTTGGTCTGCGCAGTGTTCTGGGTTTTAGTGACCTGATCTCATAGCTGCCATAACTTCTGTGCTCCCGAATTCTATGGTCGGCTCCATACTCCATACCTCTGATTTTTGCAGGAGCTACTGTCATCTTGGCGGACTGCCTGGCCGGCCCCCACCGAATGGCGATGTAAGGGCAAAGTCAATGTGCTTCTCACCTGGCTCCAGTGAGCGGAGGGCCCTGGGAGCGCAGGGTTCTCCGGGTAAGGCGTAGACTGTCCAATCGGACCAGGAACGATGGGATGTCACCTCGTCGGCGGCAGGCGGCAGGTACTGGAAAGTCCAGGGCCCTCTGCACAACTGGGGCGGGTGCAAATCTGCTTGCCCACGCGGATGTGTCTTTGACGAATCAGGGTGCGCCTGGGTCAGGGCTTCAGCCCAGCTAGCACCCTCTTTTCAGTTAGTAGGAGCCCTGCGCATGGTGAATGGACTTAGCAAGGCCCAGCTTGAACACCTGACGAAGAGTCCGAGTTTGCCGGTTGTTCCTTGGCCGGAGCAGTGTAAAAAGGCCCTGCCTTCGTCTGGAGCCTGCGCTCCATGATCTTCGCAGTTGTGAGCCCTAGGACAAAGTCCAGCTTCCTCGAGCGATGTTGAATTTTGCTGACTAGTGAATTGCGACTGTGCTACAAGGTGGCACATGCAGAAACTCCGCCAGCTTAAGGGCTGAAGGACACTCAGAAAAGCTGATCCTGCAGGCGGCTTGGTGAGCGGAGAAGGAGCGCGGCTTTATGATCGAGCATGCGAGCTCTTGGACAGACGCTTGGCATTAGAATCTCTGCCGGTGTAATAGCTGCTCGTTGAGTTTGCCCAAGAATCTTCTCCGACTCCAGCAGAAGGCCAAGACGGACCATGCGGCGCAGCAGAGCTTCTCCCTGGAGCAGCGATCGCGAATCATCTGCTCCCGCGCATGCTTCTGCACTATCTTGTATTCCATTCCGTTACAAAACGAAACATTACACTACACTACACTACATAGTATACGACGGCACTACACTATTTTACACTACGCTACATTGCACCGTACTATGCTGCCCCATGCTACACTACATCACATTACACTACATTACATTACACGACTTAACATTAGCAAGCACTACGTACGATACACTACGTTGCGTCCAGTATGACATGTAATTGCAACACTAAGCTTGCTTTCTGGATCCAGCGAGGGCCTGGAAGATGCGCGTTTCGCTGCGCTCCTCCTGGGTGAGGAGCGTGCGGGCAGCTGTGCGGATTTTCGCCAGCCTTAATGGATTCGTGGCGCGAAGCGTGTGCTGCTCTCAGGCCCCAACTCCAGACATGTTGACAGAGCCCATGATGAAGTTGCAGTTGTCTAACGTGGCATCCCGACAAATAAATTCTGACTGGATGCGCATACTGGACTCGCCAGACCTGTGCCGAGGCAAGTAGCTTCACAAATTCCCGCTTCGCGACATGCCGAACTGAAGCCGTCGTCGTCAGAAGTCTATCGCACGACTCCGCTGGACCAGTTTTGTCAGACCTGCCTCACGCTTGTTTTTCAAGCCATACTCGCCAATGATCTTCATCTCTCCATCCAAACGCTCCTTCCGCATGAGACCGGCAAGAGATGACTGGCAAATTCCTGCCTAGCGAGCAAAATCCAGAGATCCCGAAAACCACACCTTCTCGAAGGGGCGCTTCGGCTTGCGGAAGGTCTTTCCATAGTTCTGATAGCCTCAGACATTCGGAAAAAAGTGGCAAGTCAATGGAGCCATGAATCCAAAAAGGCCGGAGCTTTTCTTGCCCATGGCTTCGCAGGTCGCGGCCCACAAAACACAAGCCGCTGCAAGCAAAACGAATCATGCAATCATACATGTGGGTCATGTGATCTGGTGGAAGCAGCTGCAAGCAAGCTCAACCTGATTGACTGCTCATCCGTGCCAAGTATCACTGCGACTGCAGTGGGCTGCAAATCAATCTCTTAGGATCTTAAAAGACAGGCTCCTGTACCGATCTCCCGGTTTGCATGGAGCTTGCCCTGTCCAAAAGTTGTCTTCTCGCGTCAACGGCACCTCCAACAATGATTCAGCAGCAAAGACCAGGCACAACAGGAAGATGTTGCGAGCAAACAGCAACCATGACCATGAGAAAAAGACGGCCTCCCGCACCTCTCCACCTGGAAGAGTGCGGCACGCAACAAGCTCCAGCCCTCTTCGGACGACGTGCACTGACTCGCCTTCCGAGTCTTGCAGCTCAACAGCCTAGCACAGGTTCTCTCATCGCATGTAAGAGTTCGTGCTCTCTAGCCAAGCTCAGGGCAAGATCTTCTCCGTGCGGCGCCCACACACGGAAGGAACAAACCTGGCGCTCAACTGCTCAAGCTTCGTTGAGCATGGGGAGGTCCGCCTCTGCCGAAATCCATCTCGGGCCACATGCGTTGGCCTTGCAGCTCAATCGGGCACTTTCTCGTCGCACTGCAGCGTCGGTCAACGAGAAATCTGAAGAGAATCGACTCTGCCCGCTGGACAATGCAGTCCCTCGGATCCCATCTTGAGATTCGCTCAGGAGCTCTTGGCAAAAAACTCACGAAGCGTCGGTTGCCGCATGGTCAGGGTGGATGAATATCAGTTTCGGTTCTGCCTTGCTGGGCTGTATCACTTAGCGGAATTGGCTCTGCAGAGGTGCCTGTTCAGCTATCAGGGCTGCAAGTGCTTTGGGAGCGGCTGATGGCGGCCGACGTGTTGTGTTTCATTGGGAACTGCCGGAGTCAGAAGGTCAGAAGTATTGTGAAGTGTCGTGCAATACAACCGCAGGTCTCAGCACGATCTTCGAGCACCACTGTCTGCAGAGGCCGCTGCTAACTGCCAGCGGGGCTCTGCATCGCCTGCAGCCGTTCAACTCCCCCTTCTCTCTGCGGCCAACTCGTACACGATATATATGTATATCTGATATACAAGAACTTATAATACTTTATGATGTATACTACCAACATATAATCTAACGTACAACATAAAACCTCTACGACTCTACGTCCAACAGACAGCATTTAAGTCGAAGCTTCGCCGCAGGAGCCTGCCATGGCTCAGCACGAAGTCGGCCACTTGAAAGGAGTCCTCCGGCCCTTTGGTCCATGGTCTCTTGTGCTCTTGCAGGCTGCAGCTACCCACAATGCTCCGATTGAAGGGGCATGTATTTGGCCAAGTCTGCGCCTCTGCTGAAAGCGCTCGCCTCTACTTTTGCCACTAATTTCTCGACGATGTCCCAAATTCTTCACTGTTTCATGACGCTCCGTGACACCATTATCTGCGTGAAACCCATGCAATCTGCATTCTTTGCCTGGGCCACTTGTCAAAGCTCGTGCACCTCGTCACTCTCAGTTGTTGTGACCTCGAGCCCTGGCTCGGTGCAAAGCGCTTTTTCGACCGCTAGCCACTGCGCCTCCCGCCTCTCTCGCTTAGAATCACTTGCGGAGGGCCTTCAGTCAAAGCATCTTCGCTTCATCACGACGGTACTACGCGTGGGGAACGGATGCCTTGAGCCGCAGCTCGATGACCCAGTCCTTCTTCTTGAAGCGATCGATCTGCGCGGCAGGCACTTTTATTGGCATGCACGACCAAGACTAGCGATTAATGCCAACATCGCAGTGAATGGATCAGAAAGCTGTATGCTGCTCTGTGCATTCTGTAAAACTACTCCAATTTATTCTCCAATAACCTTCATCTCATGGCGAGCCTGGCGTTGTCGGCCCCAGTCATTCGGCTTGGGTGCCAAGTCATCAGAAACGAAACCTCACCCCAGGCGAGAGTGCATCTGACGCCCCAAGGGCCCCTCATGTTCACGGCGGTTGCTTGGCACAGAGCCCAAATTCGGAGGGACCTGAGCCAGAAGGAAAGGAGGATCCGGCAGCCAATGGAAGAAGAGGATATAAGCTCCTGACGATGACCCGTCTTGTCCCGCCGACTCGCATACCGATCAATGCCTTCAGATCTCAGACATAGGCATTCCAATGGAATGCACAGGCGTGGCGGCCAAGCCTTTTTGATGCCTTCAATAACTTTGTCGCCTGTGAGCGTGCGCATGCTGATGTGCAGGGCCCGGAATCAAAAACACTGAGACATGAGCCATGCTAAGCAGAGCTTATCCGAGTTTGCTTGTCTGTGTAGAAGGTGTTAGGGCTCCAAAAGCAGACCCTCAATGACCCTCTGCCACCTTTGTCTCCGATCGGCGAGAAGCGCAACTCAGGCGAACCTCCATGCCGAAGCGATGCAGCCAGCACAAGCAATCAGCCGCTCCACAGCTCTACTGAAGGTCGACCATTGACACCAGTTGAGGCTCACGCCGACACCAAACTTCTCATCTATACCTCTTCCCTTTGCAGGAACCAGTGACTCCCACACGCCAAGGTGCAAGTTTACACGGGCCGGGCCGAGGAAGCGGCTGGATCAAAACCAAACGAGGCATCCACGAAATAGCCATTACTTCTCCTCAGACTCCAATCCACCTCAGCTGTTGGACAGCAGTAGGCACTTTGACAAGAGGCCAACCTGAATCCGATACCGGTATGACAAGTGACCAGTACGACCCGGACTTTTGCCATCTCCCTCCTCGCACTTACCGTGCACGATTGCACCTGCCTGTTTGGACAGGCCAATGCCTCCAGCTGCCCGGCTTGAAAGATATGCCAGGCTACGCAGCCACGCACATTGAGTAGGCGTCTACTGCCCTCGATTCGGACGGTCGACCCACCTACTTGCAACACTTAGAGGCAGATGGAAGCCAAGAAGACATAAATTTTGATGGCAGCAATGACAGTAACAGGAGGCTCTGGAAGAGCGCTGGGATTGAACTCCCAGATTTGGCCTGAAACCTGCCTCGTAATCCAGGCACTTTGTAGCAAAGCTATGCCGGTTGTATACTAGTTCCTGCTTCTCTTCTGCTTAGCAGCGGCAGGAAGCTACAACCTGCTCCTGCAAAGATCGCCTTCTGGCATGTACCGAGACTGCACCAGGAAGTCTTGAAGGCGCGCACCGCCACTTTGAGATGCGAGTCAGAGCAAACGAAGTTACAAGGGGTCCAAATATTCTTGTCTTGGCACTCTCTGGCTTCACGTTTCTTTTGTTTGGCTTCGTTTGCGGTCTAGGGAAACAACCTATGCACAGGATGCCTTAAGCCTCCTTGTGCCGAGCTAGAAGCCACAGCCAGGCTGCGAATTAAGTCTCACAGCAAACCGTTGGTGGGATCTGCACGAATACACACAAACTAGCAGCAAATCAGCCCTTACAGCTGACGACTTTGACGTGAGGTGCAAGCTGATTGTGCAGACCCTCGGGGCTTCTCACCTCGTTTCTGTCCTCCAGCTCGCTTCGAGTACTGGGCAGCTGCTGGCGTGGCCCCAGCCACCTCGCCTTCGCCCACCGTCCAAGCAGAACAGCGACTCGTTCTACTGCTCCGAAGAGGCTCATCAACGTCGCAAGATATGCACAGCGCATGACCAGGTCTCGGGTGAATGTGCGCGACAGCCCAACCAGGTTGCCACTTGCGTCCCAAACAAGGTATGTCTTCTCCAGGAACTGCCATGCAAGGATCAGCTTTTGGAGTGGTCCTGCCTCTGCGTAAAATTGCGAAATGACGGCATAGTTATACAGTTGATTCAGTGGTGCACTCAGCACTGCTGTCAGAATAGATGCCAGAAAATCACCGATAAATGTCATCAGATCTGGATGCGGCGCCCTGATGTTGGCACGTGCCAGCGAACGATGGAGACCAGACTGGACTGGATCGGACAGAATCCGAATGCCACCTCAGCTTGGGCGGGGCTTCAGGAGGAGACGGGATGCCTAGTGCACGCTTGCAGCCGGAAGCGACACCGAACCAGGCTCTTGCACCGGTGCATCTCGACGCATCTACCATCTACCAAAAACTCATGAGGAGTCTAAGTTGCCAAGCGACTCATTGCGAGACAGTTTCCTGAGCGCATGCAGGTTTCTGGCTGTAGGCAACATTGTCTCTGCCAACGTGGCCAAGCTGCGGAGAAACAAGAATATGACTCCCGGGCCGAACAGGCTGAACACGTTGCCAACATCCATGGAACCATGGCCGGCATTGAATGCCATCCTTGCGTTGACCGTCTGTGGTCCATACCTCGAGACCGCTTCATGCTGTTTCCCAAGGATGCACAAAAGTCGACCTCCACTTCCTGCATCCAAGCATCGTCAGCAGAGTCTCGGCGAGAGCTGCCAGCACCACCGCATAGACAGCCCCACAAGCACTGTTCAGCATGTGGTAGAGCGGCCCCAGCACAACAAACTGCGGGCAGCTGGTCCAAAGCGTGACTTTGGCACCAGTCCAAGCATGCAAGCCATCGGCGTAGAGCGCGCCATAGATTTCCTCGGTGGAGTAAATGCCTGAACCCCTACACCCTCCGCCTGAAGCTCCGGAAGTCTGGAAATGATGTGAAATGTCGCGGGTGGGTTCACTGTTGAACATATCCAAAGATGGTACATAAACATGGAGGTCTGCATATTCTTTGGGTAACAGCACGTCTCAGCATTTTTTGTCGACATCTGTATGCATTCGCGTCACATCTCCGGTTAACTTATCACCCTATCCTACCCTAGATGACATTATACTAATATTATATTGCGGCGGACAGGCTGTAGGGTTCGGGCAAAGCCACCGCTACAAACATGCACAGCTACAAACATCCTATGTTACATGCATGCATCTGTGCTGCATCCTTGTGTGCAGAATACCCCCCCTTATGGTCACGTCTGCAGGCATACCGTTTTGGTTGTGACCTGTTCAGCAACAAAGGAAGAGGCCAGCAATTTGGAGGAACAGTGCGACATTGCATGCAAAACTACTAATTAGGAACAAAAACGAAGAACGACGAAGGAAAGCCAATCAACTGAAACATGTCTACGCCTGATGATCCCTGCAAACCCCGTACGGTTGACACTATTGAACTATATCTAGAAGTGGCCGCGCATGAATCCCGGCATGACCATACCCAAGACAAGAGGCTTGAGAATCACATCCTGTTCAACCGGAAACCGTGAGGCGTGTCATTCACAGAATCTGGCAGGTCACCGAAGCAACAGTCTCGAAAAGTCATACTAACGGCCTGCATGTGTGAACAAAACTACAACCCTATAAACAAGTGAACATAGTACGGTTCTAACACGACTTTGACTGAAGGTTGTCTCCTTCGCACAGTATCTCCACAAACTCGCTGGCACATGGAGTTCAAATGCCAGAGCAGGCTTACGCGCGCAAGCGTGAAGTTTCTGGCGAATTCAAAAATTAGCGCTGCAGCCGGCACAACAAGTGGACACCGGAAAAAGCAATGCCAAGGACGCAGGCAAGACCTGCAGAGAAGTCTCATGAGAAGTCTCATTCATGGAGATGGGGACAACTGCTTTGTTTGTGGTACTTCAGTTCGCTTGCGTGGGGTCAAGAGCTGAGCTTCTCGGGCAGTGACGGGCGCACCGTAAGCATTCTTTGCAGAACGCAAGGCACGATTTGTGCGACCGAGTATCAAAGGCCGACTGGTCCGGATAGTGGCTTGCTATCGTCAGCGCATTTCGCAAGGGTGTTAACAAACAGATGCAGAGAGGACCGCCGATGGCCCCTGCTAGAAGCAATGGCAGTTCCGGCAATGCGAACGATGTCACCCTGGCGCCGGTCAGACCACTCTCACGCACTGGCTTGCTGCTACAGCCTTCGACCACCATGACACTGTGGTAAAGTATGCAGAAAGCTCCCCGTAGAACCGGCAGGCAGAAACTGTGAAGATGCAAAGCTACAACAGCTCCAACCTCGCCCTTCGCGAGCACCATCGTTCCCAACAGCGACCTCCAAGAAACCAACTACTCGGGATCGAAGCCTTTGCACATTCTCATGAAATTTATGAAGCTTCTTCGGGCATTTGGTCCTCGGACGCTGAAGTCGGCTGGGGCTCGCTTGCTACTTCCAGCTAGCATTGCTGTGCATGCCAAGTGGCTTCTCTTGGGCATCGACCTCTCAGCAGGGCCAAGCTCTCTGACTGCTGTTTTCCTTCGGTAGCAGGCCCCGAACTCGTGCATGCCCAATGCATTATTGGCTGAGTTGCCGGCGGCTGGCAGAAAACCTTCAGCGCGTTGGGCAGCTCGGCAGAAAACTTGAGCCGACACCATCCAAAGACCATGCCAGTGCGGCTCGAGATGTGCCTAGCGTGGTAGTTCTGCTCCCTTCAGCATGACACTGAGCCTCGGGCCACAACAATGTCATCTTGAGCGCAGCATTCGTCGCCCTTGCCTGCCAGACAACAACAACCCGAGAGCCCTCGAACACAGACAGGAGAAGCTGATGGATCGCTCTGGTCTCGTGCTTCGAGGCAAGCTACCTGGTGCCAGATCGAGAATCCTCCAAGCCAAAGCTGATGACAAGCGTCGAGGCTCCGTGTCATCTTTACAATGGCATCAGCCGGAACAGACTGCGGTTGAAGTTTCGTTCGTCCTGAGGCCATCCGGTGTCTTTGTGAAGTCGGCGATGCCACCGCCATCCAATTTGACTTTCTGCGGGCGGGTGAGTGGAAACAGAGTCGATTGAAAAGCAAAGTCGCGACGTGTTTCAAGAATAACACCCGAAGTTTGGGGAGCTGACTTCTATGCCAACCCTGTACGCATTTCTCTGCTCGCAGTCGTCAGCTCTGGCAGGAGTGCTGAGAGCTCAAACTTTTTGGTGGGCAAGCGAGACAATGGACGTTGCTGTTGTCCATGTCTTTGGCTTGACACATAAATCGAAACTCTTAACACGATCTTTTGGATGCCCTGGCCGTGCGGCACTAGGATAGAATGATAGGTATGTTTTTGAAGCAGTGGACTTAGGTATGTGTTCGACATATTTTCTTTACGCCAATTCACAAAAGTTCAGGCTGCCCGTGCCAGTGTCTTCGCAGACAGCAGCAGGGCATAGTCTGTCAAGATAGACGGGCAGCAACTTGCAGCTACATTCGTAGGCAAGTAACTCCCAGTACTTTCTTGAGCCCGGAAGCCGGCGGAGGCGAAAGCATTCAAAGTCACGACTGCTTTGTCCAACCGAAGACCAGGCTGCTTCCGCAGCATGGATGGGGACAAAGAAGTGCACGCCTCACGCGAGACTGACGGTATCTACTGTTGCCTCTCTCCTCCAGCACACTTGCAAGGAATGTGTTGGCAAGCCTCGTGGTAGTCACTGGTGCAACAACTGCCACTGCATCTTCTGGCGTCGGGCAGTCTGGGTTCGCCAGATCAGATTGAAAGGGAGGCACCTGTCCGTGCACTTGAGCATTCACACCATCAGCAGAGCATGCCTACTGCACCACCTCAAGCACTCACAAACACACACACACACACACAACACACACCACCAGGCCTGGTTACCTGTTCTGATGCCATCTGGTTCTTGTGGATTGTCTTGCGCGTTGTCTGTAACCGAGAAATGGTTGTGGAAACACTCCTTGTGGAAGGTGTGCTTGCACTGCATCACCACGACGAAAAAGCCAGCTTTGATGTCTCCGTTGCACAAATTGCAACGGACGGTAGAGAAACCAACATCCCGCAAACTCGCATTGACGCATTGCTTGTGGCTTGCCAAGTACAGGCGATCGTGCTCATTCACCACTTCCATTGCAGTGGACTGCTGCGCCGCTCCATTGCTTCGGGGTGCGAACAGCCACTCTGTACTGAATTGGGAACCTGCTGATTCTTACATTCAAACTTCTTGACAAACTCGAGTACTCGCAGGCGAGCTTCTAACAACTCTTGTCGCTTTCTTGGTTGGCTACTTCGAGGCATGGCAGGGCAGGGATCATATCAAAGCACAAGCAGGTCAAAGGCACCTCTTCAAGCTCCTCAGGTCATATCGACCGATCCACACACACACAGTCAGCCCTTCAACAAAGCTGCCTGGGGGTGTGGTACAGCTCGGGATGTTGCGGTATAGTGGGCACAGGCACTCTATAGACTCTCTAAGTCCCGCCCTTTTTTGGAGGTCATCTGTTCGGCAGCGGCTGCAAACTCGCGAGAGCATCGCAAAACCTTGTTTGGTACGGCGCACGGATCCCTAGTGAGATGCAAAAAAATATTTCAGGCATCAAAACATGTGCATCATAAAAAGCAGGTATATCGCGGCTGCGCAGCGTCGAGGTTTCACAAAGGTTTGCGGGCCAAGCGGCTCTTGAGCGGCAGCCGCATGGTCGAACTCGAAGAAGTACAACTTTTGCTCCCGAGCATCTGACCTGGACCCACCTGGCAAGAAGGCGTTCTGACTCTGGCACTTGCTGTAGCTGCATGCTACTACGCCTATCAGCTCTGCGGAGATGCAACGGTCTGCGGCACGAAAGTGATATGGCCCCACAAGTGTCAGCCTCCTCTGTGCGGCGATGTAAACCGTCCCAGGCTCGACCTCTGGCAAACTTGCGAGGCAATCTTCATTGGCATTCACGAGCATGTATTCAGTGCTTCTCCGCACCCGTACTCCTCTGTCACCCTTCCGTGCCTTCTTCCCTTCCTATTCAAACCTCTCCGATGGGCAGGACCGGGTGCGCTGCGAGCGTCTTTTCTTCCGATGCACTTCCAAGGACATGATTCCCGGGCCGACCAAGCAGCACCTGATACAGGTGCCAAAGCAAACACAAGGCCAGATTAGCAGCAAAACTCACTCGAATGGCGACCTCTCCACCTCGCCGGCTCCGACATCCACCACTGTCTTGACTTGGTCGACCGAGCCCTCGACAGTCCAGTCACGATCGAAGGTTTTATGCTGGTGGCATGAGTGGCAGGCTAGAAGGAATTCTAAAGTGGATGTGCCGCGAGCATCTACGAGCCTTCTCGTAGATGAGCCTCAAAAACACGAACACTATCTCGCAGCGCAGAAGGCTCGACCCGCAACGATGCATGCAGGCGAGGCACAACTGGCTGCCAGTGACTAACAGACTCCGGCAATCGTGCCGCTTCCATCCTTGAACACCAGTCGTGAGTCTGTGCACCTCCAAGCGTTTATTGCTGGATCATTGTCGGTTGAAGCCGCTTCTCCCTCAGAGAGCCAGACCTCTGCTCGAAGGCACCCAGCACGCAAGCCGGTCGAAGGTGTCCCAGCTGTTGCCTGCAGCATTTGCGTCCACAATCGAGAAAGCGATGCTCGAAAACATCCCGCCGACTCAACCAGGCCTTTCCGGATTCAGCATGGAACTCTCGCCCCCTGTCTCCTTGAAAGCCCGCTTGCTTCTGCTACGCCATCCTATGTGTACATACATACGTATATATATATATATATATGTCTACAAAAATCTATACAGCGTACATGTCATATACCTCTACATGAGAAACTAAAAACACACACGGACAGACACATAGATGGGTAGATAGTTAAAGCATAGATAAATACTTTTTCGATGTAATAGATACGTACAAATCCCTAACCCCCCATGTTTCTCGTTCATTGAAGAATGATAAAGAAAAAGTTGATGGTGGGAGGCGTCGCAGGCAATTCTGCAGCCATCTCCCCCCATTTCTTCTTTTACTTCCTTGAAGGGTGATAGGAAGGGGCCCAGTGGTTCCCTGTCTTGTCGTTCTGTGGGTTGTGGGTTACCCCTCCTGCTCCCCCCGTTTGCTAAGGAGAGGTATGTTTTGCGGGGGAGTTATGCGGATGACGTGTGACTGTTTGCTGGGACGAGAGGCCTGGCCGGGGGGGGGGGGGGGCATACCAGGGGGGGGGCCCTTCGACGCGGCACCATGTATGTATGATTTCAACCCAGCGGGCGCTATGTTTATATGTATATCTGAGATTCATAGATATAGATAAATAAAAGAGATGGTATGCAGCCGAGGAGACCATCAGGTGGCATCTTCTTGCCGACTGCAGGTGATGCTCCTAAGAGTCTCGAACTTGTCGAAGGGGTGTCAGAGCACCTCGCAGCGAGGCGCAGGCGATCCTTGTCACACGAGGCTATAATTACGCTACTGGCTTCGTGCTCAGCCCAGCTGCTCTGGAATGCGCGTTGGCGCAACCTGTGGTGTGCTTGATGGCGTGAACTCTGTTGAAAGAGTCCTCGCTATAGCATGCACGTAGTCTGAACTGCTGTCGTGAAGGTTACGCACTGGTGCCGTGTCAGCTTGTCTCCTGATGGATTCTTTGTCTCGCGGCAGAGACATGCTCGAGTCAGCACCTCACAAACATGTGGAGTCTACGTTGTGCTCCTGTGTGCCGCAGTATTCTCTCTCGCTCTCTCTCTCGCGGACTCAGAGGTCTGTCAGCACAAGAATTCAGATCACATTATCCCGGACTACCAGAGTCGCAGCCGTGCTTCGTCGGTCAACGCCCCCGAAAGACAGCGGAGAGAGATGAGCCACATCGGGAGAAGCCTCACAAGTCTGGCCTCAGATGTCTTACGCAAGTCGCTGATGCGTCGTGAATTTATCGAGACTTTCGAAGGCGGCTGCCAAACGACCGATCCTGAACAGGCTCGGCCGATTACCATGTGAGTGGTTGTCAAAATCATGGTGCCTTTTGGGGTCCCTAATATGATACGGCACCTAGTATTTAGGGTACCCGAAAAGGGACCATAATTTTGACAACTACCCATGTCGCACTCTGCAGTTGCTGGCGTCGCTGCAAATCTCTGCCGGCCAGATGCTTCCCTGCGTCCCCATCTCGACCGGGTCCTGTCTCACGTCATCTGAAAATGGATTGGTGTCCTTAGCTTGAGTCCATTCCGCTCTTGAGGTGGGGAATCGAATCGCGTATGTTGGAGTCGCGCGGTGAACTAACTCCCGGGGGCTCGCACATCGGGCCATGCATTCGGAACCTGTACACCGTACAACCGACGGACGGCAAGGAAGTCAAAAGCAGAAGGATATCCACAAACACGAAACCCCGAAAAACCTCACCCGACCATGCAAGTAGATGAGCGGTAGAATTGGATGTGTGGGAATGGGTGCATGTGTTGGTGCTTGAATTGGCAGTGTTCGCATCGCGCGTGCTCGACGGCTCGAATCGCGGGGCCGTGGCCGAAGGGCGCCTTTTGCTTGCCCAGTCTCGCGTCTCGGACCACGAGGTGGACTGAGGGTAGTCGTATCAGCCACGGAAAGAGCGCTTGCCTGTCACAGGGAGACACAGAGCACAGAATGCAACAGCAGTGTGACATGACAGCAAAACAACGGCAGCAGAGGCAGCGAACACCCTCTCGACTTAGGTACACTCGAATAAACCTCGAGCTCCAAAAACATACCAACAGCAGCCAAACTAGGCGAGGTCGCCGGCGTCGAGTAGTCCTCTGGCCGATTCCCTCGGCTCGGCTTGGGGCGATGCATGGCGATGCTCTTCACAAACCAATGCAGATGAAAAGAGGAGATGCACCCGGACTCGCAATTTCAGAGGTTTCCCCCCCTACCCTTTCTAAAGGAAAGCCTTCAAATAGGCAAGACGCCCCAGGGCGCGGGTCCCAGGGATTTGTGGTGCCAGGATGTGCGGCCTGCACAGGAACGGAAAGCTCAGATCTCGAGAAAGCCGACATGAGCAAAGCCTCTTGGACCAGTGTGGGAAATCCATCCGTCGCTGGGGAGATTCTTAGGTCATTCACCAATGATGCGTGCACTGTTGGTTCTGTGGAGTGTGGCACTGCCCAAGCTTCGCACGGTCACCAAGTCTGACGGTGCGCCGGAGTCGGGCACGCGTGGTGCGTCAGAGTCATGTGCAGGAGGCAGAGCTGCCGGGAAAGGAGGAACTGGCAGCATGGCAGTCTCCTCGTTTGACAAAGGGGCAGCCTGTCACGTCTCGTCACGAGCACCCCCGCCACTACTGATTGCTAGCTATGAAGTGTTACCAGTCCTTGAATCCGCACAAAGCTCGCCAGGTCGCGCGGATTGCGGCAGGCACACTCCCACTCCTTCAGCCCAGCTTTCAGTGCTCAGGTCCGCAAGCAAAGCCAGCTAAGCCCTCCCGGCCTGAGACTGTTACACACACCAAGGCCAAGGCACATGTTAGGCCAGACACAGACAAGGATTCCTGCCTTTAAACCCAATCTCCCCGCCTGCGCGACGACCCCTGCCAGGCAGGCAACATTTCATCGCAGCTGAAAGGCGTCGTCCTCCCTATCCCGCATTTGCAACTGTGCATAGCGGGCTCTTTTTCACCAGTCACACTAGTGGATCGAGAGCACCGAAATTTGCGACAGTCTCGTGCCGTCGCAGGTGCGGCCGCTCGCGGGGTCTCACACTCGGACGCGACCAGATGATGCTCTCTGTTGGCAGGCATAGGCAGCACGAGCGCTAACCGAACAGATCAAGGAGGTCAGCCGAAACTAGTCGCTATTCGAGGATTTCGTAGCCTTCTGGCGGAATAAGCAGCATGGAGCGAGTCATCAGCTGGTATCGCATGACAAAATGAGAGAAGCGAGCACAGAGCCTTCTCTCGGCCTCGAGCATGTCGAAGTGCTGCCTATGGTGGAAGTACACATGGGCGAAGATTCGGTACAAACGTCGAGACATCGACTGAAAGTATTTTGTACTGCTACTCGGCACCTGCGATCGCGAAGAGAAAGGACACGCCACAGTGAGCAAAGCCGTCGATCCATCAATAGTATGCGTCATGTAGTCAATAGCTGCACATTCCTGCGGCTTCCTGTGCGCAGCGCACAGATATTGCCAGTCGTTGGAGGCTGTCATTTTGGGGCATGTCTCCGGAGTGCATGTACCAGTCAGTGCGACCAGGAGCAAGTTAAACTCGATGACAAACTGGCGCAGATGCTCATACTGCCATACCAAAGCATCAGTATCGGGACTCGGTAACTCATAGATCCTGTCCAAGTCTGAAGGGTCCTCCCGCAGCAGATCTTGGATGTACTCAGCAAGCGCGAGAGGACCGTGGTATGTTTCGAAAGGCCGTGCCCGCCAACTCCACATCTGCGCAGCCTTTGTGCCAGGAAGGTTTCTCGGACGGGACGGTCTTGCAAGTGGATCCGCATTACTCCGAGCCATCGGGCGGATCTGAGGCGGAGAGAGTAATCTAAGAGATCATGGACTAACTTTTGTGTCTCATGGAGGTGTAGGACCATTTGAGCATTGCGCGAGAGAAGGAAGGCAGCAGAAACGACAAGATAGGTGCATCAGTGGCAATCAGTGGCAGGCTGCTCACGCTTTTTCTGAAACGGCTCATCCGACGAAAGCTGCTGCCATTGACTCGGGATCCGCAGCTGCAGCAAAGAGGCGCTCCACCTGCAGCCCGTTGTGAAGGGTGGCGAAAAGCCCAACGCCACCACACCCTGTCGAAGGGCTCTTCAAAGGTCCCAAACCCAAACACTGAACTCAAACCCTAAACCCTCAGCCCTGAACCTTCAACCCTCTCTGTCTCTCTCCCAGGCTTTCGACACCTTCAAACCTGTCTGTCTCTCACAGGTGCTCGAAGCGTCAGACCTGTTGATCGGAAGCCGAGTTTCACGGCTCCAGCCTCAAGCCCCAAACCCTTCTCTCGCCCGGAACAGCTGTCGCCGCGAAGCAGTGCAGCACTCGAAACCCTCAACCCTAAATCCCTCTGCGGCTGCCTGAAATGCTGAGCGCAGCAAATGCAGGCGCTCCTTATGAGAGCGGCTTTGCAAGAGCAGCTGCCCCAAGCTGACCTGCTGGAAAGAAGTAGACGAGGATGTCAAAAGCAAAAACAACAACTGTTATAAGTATCAAATATAAATGTTATTCTTCTAAATGTGATTGCGTTGGCGTTTAGCAGTATAACTGTCATTATTATGAAACATTATCATAACAGTGGTACTGATAGTGATAATAGACATGATGCACATTATTAACAAATAGTATGCGTACTGTCGTTACTGTTGTTGCTATTGCGCTGTTGTTGGTAGTATTGCTGCTGTTGCTGTTGCCCTTGCTATTGCTATCACTATTGCTCTTGCCATTGCTAGCAACATTGCTAGTGTTATTGGCATTGCTATTGTGTTGGTATTGTTATGGGTGGTTTCATTGTTAGTACTGCAGCTCGGTTAGTACTAATACTATGACATCTAAAATTACTACTATCTTTTGAACCCAGGCTCTATGCCATCATACTAACACTACTCTGACTAGCACTACTCTATTACCGTTACCATGACGGTTGCCATTACCATTACTCTTACTGCTACCGCTATTATTGCTGTGAATACTGAAATTCAGAAGTAAGTGAAGTGTAAGAACAATAACAACCATAGACGAATAACAACAACAATAAATACAATAAGAGCACGTACTCATTAGAAGGACAATGAAAGTACTTGTAACGACCGTAAGCACAATCATGATAGTGGTACTAGCAGCAGTAGTACGAGTAAGAACAACAGATAACAACAGCAACAACAATCGCAATAATGCGATAACCTTAAAACTGGTTACAAAAAATGATGATGACAATTAGAGTGAAAATACGACCAAGAAGACCAAGAATAATAGAAACAAAAGCAACAGGAAGACTTACTGTACTAATGATAAAAACCATACAAAACACAATAACAACAGTAATACAACAGTAATAGTTGTAAAACGAATCACACTAGCGTGTGTAGGTGTATGTATATATATATATATATACACTGTACACACATGCTTCATATAAACATACATGTGTATATATATATATATACAGATAGACGGATATATGCATGTGTATATATATATATATATATATGTATTTGGATGGCGTGCACCTGCTCCCCCACAAGGCGAAGAATCTCGGCGTCAAACCTTCAAAGTTCGAAACTCCCCCCAGATTGGGTCTCTTTCCGTTTCTGAGGATCGGACAGAGACTTGAGCTCACGCACCTTGGATGGCAGGTGCACCCTTCGTGGCCCCATTCCTCCAAGATGTCCTAAACCCTTCTCACAGCATGTTATAGAATGGGCCTCTCCATGTACAGACGGCGGCATGTCGCTGGGATTTATGCTCTCCTGGGGCAGCCCGGGGAAAGGAAAGAATGCTGGTTCAAATCACGACAGCAACAGTCCTGCATGTGCTGGCTGGCGTACTGCTCATAGATCTCCTTGACTTGGGAGAGCATCTGCTGCTCGATCGCTCCTGAAGCGTACACACAAATGCACCGAGACAGCGAAACCGCCAACAAGAACGACACAACACCAACAACAAGCCCACAAGAAGGAAAGAGCAACAGCGCCCCTGCCAATCGACCAGGCACTCTCCAGTTTCTCTCTGGCAACAAGAGTGTCAACAAGACAGTTAGACAACTTGAAAAAAGGAGTCCGTTGCAGTCCGTACGAGCCGCTAGGCCAAGCCTAAAGCTTCAAAGATATCATGTCCTTTAAACTTACCACGCCGAGTGTGCAAAATATTGCAAAATGCTCGTGTGCTGCTTGGTCGTGCCTCTCAGGCACGCTTTTTGTTACCCGCGTGCGCAAGGGCACTCCGCGCCCACAAACGGTTCCATGCGCTGCCACACCCTTGCAGCACACACAAGTTTACCAGCACACTGTGCCTACTCCTGCGGTCACTAGCCAACATGCACTGCTCAAACGGACGGCATCTTCCTACCCACCATGCACCGGTGTCAAGCACGGAGAAGAACGTCCGGTCGAATCTAGTTGACCTGATTTCTTCTTCGCTCGCGCATGTAAGGCTTTCCGGGGTGTGAACCTGCTTGTCTTTCGGTGGGTAAAGGTACAGCGAAGGGCAATCAAGCAACGTCAATGCTCGCCGATGATGGAAGACATTCAGCACCAGGCGGTACATCGATGGTTATAGGAAGTGATAGGCCAGAAAATCATACGAAATAAAAATGAGCCTCATGATTACCACTTTGACTCAGCCAAGCTTCGCAGGCGGTACCCAGCGTACTTGTCCAGCCACAACCTCGCGGGTCGCGTGTACAACAAACGACAAGCACAACACCTGGAGATCGCAAAAGGACAAGCAAGAGATCCCTTTAAATTCGTGTAGGAATCCTTGGAGAAAGCCGAGGAGCGAAGACAGCTGCCACAAGCCGCCCTCGCGCGATGCATTCACGCGAAGCCCTCGAGCTGCAACTTCAGCCTGCAGATCCTGGGCCACAGGCCGAGGGGTCCGCAGAAGGCCACAAGTGGTTACCTTCCTTGACTGTCTGGGAAGCATTCTGCGGCCACGGTGCGTCGACGTCCTGGACTAGAGACGAAAAGAGCTCAGTAACCTCGGCCTTGCTTCGAGGCAGCCCGGGCAAGCAAAACACACACTGCAACCGCTCATGGTACCTCCAGATCGTGCAACTCATCCGCATCATCCGAATCGTCTTCCACCTCATCAGTTCTTGCAAGAGCAACAGATCACAACATGAGCAAAAGACAGATCTTCTCCGATACGCCCATGCTGCTCAGGCTTAGGCCGGAGATGCTGAGACTCGAAGGTAGCCCTTCTGGTCCGCTCTGTCTTCTGGATTGATGACTCGGTGAATTTGCACGCGAGACTTCACTGTGTGCCTCAGCTACTGCTTGCAAATCCTCATCTTTGCCTTGACGCATGGGTGGGGCAACGATGCTGTAGCTGCCCGGGCGCTCTGCGATGTACTTTATCTTCCCATCTGTCTTCTCTGCCACATCCACAACCTGGTCCACCTGAAAAATCACACCTGGAGACAGAGGAACAGGTTGCCAGCAAGTTTTCAGACACTGGTAAACTCTGCATCCCAAAGCCCCGCACCATAAGATGCCAGGCGTGCAGTTTCCGGATCTGTTGCAGTCACCACGAAATTTCTCTGTCCGGACGACAGGACGTCGTGGTAAAGCTGACGATAGCCTGCGCGCATGAAGTTTGAAGCCAACTTGCCGCAACGGCGCAAAACACCTCCTACCCAAGCGGAAGAATGCCCTGCTTTCCTTGCTCAGCCCACGCCCGAGACTCCAAACCACAACAGTACCACAACTCAAGCAGGGAGGCAGAAGGATGTCTGCAAACCTCAAGTATTTCCGAATTGTGGCCATGCGGCGAGGCTCGAAAATCTGCAAGGTCTTAGCAACAGTACATGCACGGATCTATCATGATTTTAAGATCAGATCGCACGAATTGTCGGAGGCAGTCACAGAGGGCCCATCTACTTCGCTGAGCCAACCGCTGGATGTGAACTCAAAGCGTAGAATGTCGTGCCAAGCCTCGGGCAGAGCACCAATGTGAACATTCCGTGCCCCAAACAACATGTGCCCTCCGAAGTCACTAATGGATGTCGATGTGTAGATGTAGAATCGTCTACACCGGACAAGGCAAGAATTGCTTGACGGAGCCTCAAGGGCAACTATCTTATTGCACCACATTGGTGCGGCCGGCCATCCAGTGATCAAATCACAGTCAGGCAACGGAAACAAAGGCAGCTCAGTAGTGCCCGACCTCAGTGCCAAATGACGCTAAACAGGGCGTACGTGAAAAAGTCGTAATCCAGGAGCGCTGCAGGCCAAAGCTGCTGACTTGCCTGTTCTCCCCGGCCGGGGTGAGCCATTTCACCGACTTCTCCGAGAGAACAACCTGCTGGCATATGCATGTGCCCAGTAGGGCTATCCTCGCTTTGGCGGTCTCCTGCTCCTTCTGCTCATGCTGACGCACTAGTACTGAGGTTTTTGTCGTGGTGGTTGCTGCTGTTGTTGTTCTTGTTGCTGCCGCTGCCGCTGCCGCTGGTTCTGGTGCTGATGCTGGTGCCTTGCTGTTGCTGCTGCCGTTGCGGCCCACTGCGGCAGCAGAGCTTAACCGCTGCTTCTGCTCTCTATGACCAGGCGAATACCGCAACAACCTTTGCTGCCACCGGCCAAATCCTTGTTGCTCATGCCTCCGTGGCTCGCCACTGCTGTGCTGTAGGAGGACCTGACTGAACCCACTCCAGTGGGCGGAGAAACCACGATCCTGACTTGTCGATATCTTCGTTTTGCAATGCTTGCATGCTCATCCTTGAACCTGTGTCCCAGCTGACCGGATTGGTTTGAACAAGTCGCAGTGGCTTGTTAAAGCTTCTTACTATTCTTCATACTCTTCTTGCTGCAGTTTGAATGTGGCAATGGCTGATCACTCCTGATCACTCCTGCGGTCGGACTTTCACTTTTGTTCTGGTGCGGTGTCCAATGCCGAATGTAAACTCTTGCCACGGCTCTGCCTGAACATGCGCATGCTGAGGATGCCAAGACCAGCACGTCTCCTACCTCAAAAGGCCAAGGGGCCTCGTCGTTTCCTGCTGGCCGCTCTGACTCCCCGTCCGTCTGCGTGGCCGTGGGAGCTGCTGGAGCCTCCGCTTCCTTTGGCGGATGTTCTGCCTTCGAGCGTACAGGCTCGGCCCGAGCTCCACAGGCTGACAGGGTCTGAGGCTCTGGCCAGGAGGGGCAGCTCATCCGGGAGGTACGGATAAACATAGGACCTCGGATCGTAATCTGCTCAAAACGACAGGACATGATCTTCAGTAGGTGGCCACTGCAAGAAAGCTCAGCCTGCAGCCAAAGCAGTTGGAGAAGCAGCAAAGACGCTGGTAGCGTGAGCTCCAGCGGGAAGCGCACCATGCTTCATCCATGAACCGTGGTTTGGCTCTAGCGTTTCAATTCAGTGGTGCTGATCGTCAGCAATCGGCGAAGGATAAATTCATTATTTCGTGCTCGCTATGCTTGCCTCCGCAGTGCACATGCATGCAGGATATGCCTAGCTACAACTCTACAATACAAACCTTGCTGGGCTAGTCTGGGGGAGTTTGCTTTTCGACATGCAACAACTGTCAGCTTACCGCTCGTCGACACGAAGTCCCAGCTCGTCAGCGGGATGCCGTGAAAGTCCTAGCCTTGTAGCCCTGTGGCACCCAGTTCAGCCCACGTCTTTTAGACCAAAAAATGAGCGTCACACAGAGCCAAGAACGACGCATTTCTTGTTTCAACCACGACAATCGACCACACACAAAACTGCGGTCTGCCTGCGCGAAGAAAAGACAGGACTGAAATGCGCTTTTGTCAGGGCTGTCCTCAGGCTCAGGGGTGATCAGTGTCCATGGCCTTTAGGCGCACACCCAACCGCAATCCAAAAGCCAATCGTCCTCTCTGGCCCGATCACGATTGGGCAACGGCAGCGAAAGGGCCTCAGAGGAAGTACACAGGAAAGAGCATAAGCAGCATGAGTACAGAATCATCTTTGGGACTGTACGATCTGAGGACCTGGCTGCCGCGGCACTAGCGTCCTTCCCGGCGCTGGTTGCTGGCTGGGGAGAACGAGCCCTGAGCGTGCAAGAGTGCTCAGTCGTCTTCCGAGAAAGCCCCCGACACGGCATGAAAGGCGGCTCGAAGAGTTCAGGATCTTTTGAAAACGCCGAATGGGGCAGTCTCTAAGCTGAAACAAGCGCACAGTGACAGTGAGAAGGCGAAGGCAAGCACTGGATCAAGTTGTATCCCGCAGAACGGAATCCATGCCTCGCCTCTCGCCGGCACTGCTTCGAGGGATACATCGAGGTCCATGCATCGGGGCACAGGCGCTTGTGGCCTGCCGCAAGACCACATGCAAGTGGCTAAGCACAACAAGCACATGGCGAATCCTGCATCCAGAAAAGACTGCGGACCTGTTCTTCTTCTGGCTCGCTGTAGTCACCCATCGGAGCTTCGTCCTCGCACTTGCAACAGGAGCAGCCCGGCCCCACACGATGTAAACAGCGCTGTCCTCGATGGCGCAGCCGTTTTCTATACGAAGCGCGGGCCGGCTGCTAGCTCGCCCCATGTTGGCCTCCAGCTGAGGCGAGCCGGCCCGTGCTCAAACGAGACTGCCGGTCGAGGACAAGGCTAAAGGAGGAAGCCGTGGGAAGGCATCACCAACCTCCGAAGATTACTAAAGCGAGCAGCCATAGAAGCGGGCTCTGCGCCGGCCAAGCACCGGACACGCGCACGAAAGTGCGAGGACGAGAGCACATTCTGGAGCTGAGACTCGGAGAGTGCGGCACGACGCGCTTCAGCTTGCATGGGCACGCGACATGCCTGCACTTAAGGTATCTCCCAAGTGCCGGGCGCAAGCGTCGCCCAGGCCCTCAACGACATGCGGAAGCCTCTCCGGCGATGAATGAGACTTCAGCTCCTGGCTCAAAGGCCCAGTCATGACATTTAGGATTCTTGGAGCTTGCGACAATTCTGTGTCTGAGCTGCTGTTTCTGTCGACCGCTTATGGCCCGGTTCACAATTTCAGTCGTTGGCTTCCGAAGTTGCTTCTTTCCTGTTGCCGCTTGCTTCCTGCAGCTCAGGCAGGACTTGATCTAATAACGTTGCCAGATTGGTTCTGGTGTGGCGGGCTCGACTTTGAAGCCACACCAGTCCGGAAGGTTGCACTGGTAAAGCCACTCCTCCAGGCTCTGCAGCAAGGCCGCCAAGTGACCTTGCTGGCACTTCGGCTTCAGCCCCCCGCCATCACATTGCTGGCAGGCCGGGTGTCGCGCAGTCCCGTCCATCCTCAGAGAGCCAACCAAGTGTCTCGCACAGGCGTTTCCTCCAAAAACGGCAAGCAGCGAGTGCTCGCTGGATGGCTGCATGGCCGCGAGCAGACATTCCTCGGCTGCGGACCCGATACATCGCACCCAAAATGCCATGTAGCACATTCACCGTTTGCAGTTCACGAGGCGGCTGTTGCCAACAACATGGTGCTTGCAAGAGGCGTTCTGAAGGCAGTGGCTTCTTCAAGCTTCTTCCACGCGCTTTTGCAATCACCAACTCTGCGTCCACGGCCCTATTCAGACCTGCAAAGCACAGCACTTACGGAGCCTTTGTGAGCGTTTTGTCTTCTCAACCAGATGCATTTAACATGAGATAACAAATCTTACCACCCTCTCGTGCCCGCCTTTCAAGCTGCTCTGCAGCCGCTGCAGCTTCTCTACCATGCAGTCCAAACCTTCCAATCCAAACAGCGCGTGCCCGGCGCTGGATGGGCTCTGTCAGCCGAGGTGCAGGGATGGAGCCACAAAGCCACGCGGATCATTCCATAGTCGCCCAAGCTGTCGCTGATTCGGTGGAACTGTGAAAGCACCTGGCGTTTTAGGGAAGCTTCGAGCAGCTTCCAACCGTCAGCGGCATGGGTTGGTCTGTCTGGCCTCTCCGATCAAATACAGTAGGTCGAAGAGAGACTCAACAGCAACTAGCAGGTTCTCCCGCGCATCCTCGGGATGAGCAGAAGGAATCATGGAATGCATGCGCAGGCGCTGGGTAATTTTTTTTCGAGGTCCTGCTGCGTTGGCTCTCGAAAAGGCCCAGCTAGTCCGCTGGTCTTGAAGTGACCAGACTCGAACTCCTGCGGCCCCACAAGAACGAGTGAATCATGCGCGGCATATCGTAGCATAACCCGTCCTCTCGCACCCGTCGCACTTGCGCGGGAAAGCCAGCAGGAATGCTCTCCGGAGCCTCGATCAGCGCCGTGCTGCCTGAGGCTTGCAGACAACGCCGCGTCGCGAAGACTCACTTGGTTTATACGGCCTTCCGGCACAGCATGCGCAAGCTCCTGACAAAATGCACACATCATGCACGCAATTTCACACATGCAAGTGCAATGCACCACGAAAGCCGCGTGGCCTCCTCTGCTCCGTTTCCAGCGAACAGGTGAAAGGTCCAGCGAAGGCTGAGCAAGTTACTGACCAGCATTCCAAGCATGCTTTGCCAGGCATCCTGCGAAACTAAAGCTCTTCACTTGGCTCGCAAAACTCATCTCCCATAACATGACACATCCGGCAGAGGATCGTCCTGCATGACCTTCTGGAGCTGGGGGTCAGTTCGACTTGGCAGCGGGGTGCGACCTCGGCAGCCCGCAGCGTGGGAGAGGAAGCCCAGGACATCTGTTGCCGAGCATCGCACTTGCGGGCAGTGACTGCCAAAGCCTCAGTCGCAAAAGCCGTGGCATCACTTTCTTTGCTTCAGGGCTTGACACAACGAACTTCCAAATACAGCATCAATCCTGAACACATCTCTACAGTCACTACACTTCATGCTACTACTTGGCCATCCGAGGGGCACGACCACCTCAAGCGAAGGCAAGCTGTCCGTCTGTGTCAAGTGTGTCGCCGCTAGTAGCAAGAAGGCAACCACGTCCGAGATCAGATTGCGACCTGACGGCTTCTCCAACTCAGGTCAGTCTCCATCCCTCATCATCGCTCCTCATAGACAGCTTGCTCCTGATCGCAAAGCTCAGCTGGACGCTCAGTGACAAGCATCTCGCCGCAAGTTCGGCCTCAGCTTCGACAGGTTCCCGTCTCTGAACGATTAGAGGCCTTCATTCATGCTTGCAATAAGTATACTGTAGCAATACTGGGAACGGTAAGGGGATGCTACAATGAACTGTTCAGGCCACTATATGCGAGTTTCCGAAAATCAAGGGTACCTTCTTTTGGGGTCCTTCTAATAAGGATATTTTCAGAAACTCCCATATTACCCCGGATCCCGGCCCGGAACACTGCACCCTCGGGTCCTTGCGCATGTTCTGTCACGTTCCAAAACCTGCCGCAGCTGCAGCTCCATGTGCTCATAGACTTCGCCTTGGCTACGGAAGGAGTAAGCTTCATAATCTTAGTTTTTGTGCTCCCGCATTGAAACTAGAGTAATGGCCCTGGTCATAGCTTTAGTCATAATCATGATCATAGTCATAGTGATGTAAGACTAATAGTCAAAGTCATAGCCATACTCATAGTAATAATAAACACAGCAATGATACCAATATGAACAATATGAAAAATTACTGATACTACGAATATTAGAAAATTATTCATATTAATAGTATTCCTAGTAATATGGACAATATTTCTAGTATTACTAACATTACTACGATCACAAATATTTGTAATATTAGTAATATAATTAATATTACTAATATTGCTAATGTTACGAATATTATTAATAGTATTCATACTAGTATTCATGATATTAATAAGATTACTATTAACAATATTATCAATAGCGGTAATATTACTAGTATGAACAAGATTAAGAATATCATTATAATATAAATTTTATTAGTAACTAACTATGTTAACGGCTTGGAGGGTTTGAATCCTAGTAGCAGTAGCAAATCCGGCGAGAACACGGACTAGTAGCAAAAAGAGTTAATACGATGGACTAAAAAAGGCTACAATAGACAAAAACAATGAGTGCAGCACAACCAGTTACACAGATTCGCTCTGGATGCATCCAGCTTTTCACACGGCCAGGGAAGCAAGTCTTTCAAACTGCCTGCAGCGCCCAAGCCTGTAGTAAACCGATGATGACACCTAAAAAGCCACCCACCACCAACAGGATCCATTCATCATCTTGAAATATTGGATGAATGATGCTTTCGAACTCCGGCGGCGAAATGCGCGAAAGTCGCCAGGTCAATGTCTCTTGCACATTCATCGTCCTGTCCATGTAATCTTCTATCGCTCTTGAATGCTGTGGCAAAAGCTCCAAGGAAAAGTCTATCACATCCTGCTTCATCTCATCAATCTGTGAGCCCAGTGTGGCGGGCGCGACCATTGCCATGTTCTTGGCGATGCCCATACTCTTGTCGACAGATCGACCGACATGATTCCGATAGATGTCCAAAACCTTTTCCACCCCTGTGGAGGAAGGAGATCGCAGCATGTAGTTGAGCATGGCTCTTGCATCCACCACGTTTCTGCAGATAAGCTCTGCCATCTTCTGCGAAGCTTCGCGCTGTCGCTTCAAGAAGACCCCTTGAACATTTACCCGTCCATTACAGAACTGATGGGGCCAAACAGGGCGGAAGGTCATTTTCAATGCCAACAAATTGGTAAAGTAGCCAATGATCAGTCCAGACACTGGCAGCATGATGTAGTCCATTCCCGGCTTGTCCTTCAACATAATGTAGAATACCACTTGAACGAGCCCGAGGACGAAACCCATCACGGCTGCCACCCGCTGAATGAAAACCAATTCCTTCAAAGCGACAGACCTGAACATGTCCACCATCATGCGAGGGTTGTTTACAAAAGTCTCGACGGCCATTTCCTGCAGGTCAAGAATAGAGCTGATGTTTGTCTTTAAGTCCACCATAGCCTTGCCGAAGCTCTGCTTGGTGTCCTCTAGGACCTTCAGTTTCAGCTCATGCTGCACAGAGCTTGGCAGCGCAGTCCAAACTGTCGGCAAGCGCTTCAACATGATCTTTTCCAAGACCTGGAAGCAGAGGCCGCCCATAAGGTCTTCCAAGGCATCAAAGAAATGCTGTGGCTCAATGCGGTCCATGAATTCTTCAACGGTCACGAGGTTCCCGATCCTGCATCACCGCATCGAGAAGAACCCTGGCAAACTTCCAACTTCCCAGATTTGTTTCGTGCAAGTGAGTTGCGAGATCAGCTGTGTAGAGCCTACCACCACCTCTTCACACAAGCAAGCTTGCAGCTAAGGCACATGCGCTGCGTGGCTCTGCGGGCCATGACACCAGCTTTTCGTGGCACAATGCCCTGCCAAACAAGTCTTGCTGCCGAACACGTGCCACATGTCCGCCGTTTTGTTGGACGGGACGAAAGCTAGACTGCAAGACTTTGTTGTAATTCTTAAATTATTTAAATTAGCAGGATGGCTCTTTAAACGCTCACCTGCGGCACGACAGCAACCGCTACAGGCCCATGCGACACCAAGACATCCTGGAAGCTGGGCAGTTCACCGGCGGAGGAGTGGGGCACGATATGGCGCGATGACCCCCCTCCGAGAAGCAAGGCTTCATTGCCACGTGTCTCGTTAGTAGCTATCAGAATGCTTTTTTGCCTCAGTTGCCTTCTATGTCGTAGTATCTGCTACCAAAACATCGACAAGCAGGGCCAAAGCGCCTGCCAGCCATTTATGGGCAGCCCAAGCCATCCGGGAACGATCGGGCGTCGTGGGCAGCCCACGAACTCGATTGGAAAGAACATCCTGGGCTTGCATGGGGCAGTCGTGGAACACATCAGCAAAAGCAAATCACCCAAACAGCTTGGTGTGCAATTCCAGGCCAGTCCAGCACCAACCCACGATCTGAGCCACTAAAGGTTCATGCGCTCGCACCAGGCACAGGGAGGCCGTCGGAGAAAACATCAAGCACAACAGGCGAGATTGAAAACTTCCAACATGGACTACCACAACATCGACTCAAGAATAAAAGAAAGGTCTTTCAGTCAAGACAACGAGGACCTTCACGAAACTTTCAAACATGTGCGGTGCGAGGCAACAACCTGCCAGCGAGTTCACATGCAACTGATCTAGCTGTCTATATGGAGCATCCAACATGGAGGTGGTTGATACAATTTCTACCTGATGCAGGGGTGCGTTGAACGAAATACCCAACAGGCAAGCAAGGCTGTCATGCAGAGAGTCTGAAGCATGGACAAGCCCTTGAGTGCACAGTCCACCTGCAACACCAGGATGGTGCGCAAACCCTCGGAATTAGCAGTCATGCCGAGCATGCAAGTCGAACAAGGACTGTTGGGCAAAGCATCCAACACAAGGGGAGAGACGGGAGATGCCAACAGGTCGATAGCTGAACAGCAGCCATCGTCATCCAACACAAGGCGAGTCGTGTGAAGCATTCCTTCGGAGGGGAGTTTGCATCCAACACAGGTGAGGAGTGAGAAAGGCAAATCCAACACTACGGGGGAGTTGATGTGCATCACAAAAGGAGTTTCGGGCGAGATGCCTCGCTGCTAATGACCAATGCTTAGTCAAGCAATCGAAACTTTGTTCAGCAAGCTCGTAATCGCCGTAACGTCTAAAACTACCTGGTACATGGAAAGAAAGGCTTTCGTGCGGCATGTCTGCCAAAGTAAGTAAAGCAAGTTTCATCTGCAACGCCAGCCAGACATGAAACCAGGTGAAAAGGAGACAGACCAGCGGCACCGAAAGGAGCTTTATGAGCGGAATCAAATCCATAGGCACACCACTTGAGTATTTTTTCGCATTGCTGTCTTCTGCCAACTGGACCCATGCGACACCAATCCAAATGGCCGTCCCAGCGAAAACCACGAATATGAATGCATTGAAAGCTTGCCCCTTGATGAACTCGATCACAGGCGGATAGGCCACTCGCGGTGGAGGCTCATAGCCTAGCAAGTTCTTGAGCGCTGATCTGCTGATATCACGAAATCACTGTTGGACATCTTCATTCAGGCTCCAAGCGGCCAAAACGCTCCAAAGAGCTGCCCTGCGGTTGAGTCAGCTGAACGCGAAGCGATCTGCTGCTTGCGTCGTGCGAATCCAGCATGGCTCCAAGCAAACCATGGATGGAAGACAAAGGAATGAGGCCGGGTTATGCATCTGCATTCACACCTATGTAGGTATGTATGTGAGCCAATGCCATCAATAGCAAGCTGTGGGCATACTATCTGACCACAAGCACAAGGAATCCGTGGTGTAGCACAGCAAGGTCATACCTGATCTATATAACAAGCCTTAATGATATCCTCTACTCAATATCCTCTACTGTGCCGTAACCACCCGTGCGTACTGACATACATACAAACATGTGTGTGTGTGTGTGTGTGTGTGTGTGTGTGTGTGCGTGAATGCGTGTAGGGCCCGAATTGCCTCATCAGCGAGGCATGTCGTAGAGCCCCAGTTCCCATGCAATTGTCCAATGGGGAATTGAACCACCGAGATCTCGTACTCGGTGTGGAAGCTCAGCGCGGGTCGTGTTGCGATGTTGTGGGATCACCTGCTCGAGGAGACAACTGCCTGATGCAAATGTAGCAGCCCTGAACGAGATGATGTCGCTCAGATGGTTTTCTGGCCGAGAGTTCAGCCAGGGCATCCAAGTACCCAGCAGCCAGCTGAATTTGTCGTCTGCCCAACATGTCACTGCCAAGCAGCCTGCAAAGTTTGATGTTGGACAATGCAGCCTGGAGCCACCCCAACTACCCAGAAGCCTCCAAAGTGTGATGTTTGCCTATGCGTTCATCCAGAGGGTGGAGGACATCCAACTACTACTCAGCAGCGTGCCGAATTCGTTGTTTGACTCTGCACTCAACCAGAACCTGGGGGAATGCAACTACCGAACGGCCTGCAGACTTTCATGTTTGATTCTGCGTTCAACCAGAACATAGAGGGAATCAAATCCTGCAGAAAGTAGTTCTGCACAGACGACGCTGTGTTCTGATGACCCTGACTCCACCTTCTCGATGTAGCAGTTTTTGCAAGTGTGAAAGCGGCGACAGTGACGATTTGCAGCATGATGGAAATCTAATCGTTTTGTCCCTCCATGGTTGCGCATACGACGTCACTGCTCATCCGCCAATGTTTGAGCGGGCACAGATACTTTGAAGTGTGGAGCACGTTGACTTTGTTCTCGGCCTCTCCCGGCTCCTGGAGGAATGCTCAAAGCTTGACTGCAAGGACATCTGTTGGTCAGCTTGCTCTGTTGTCTTACGTAGGTACCTTGTTGGCTTCGTGGTCGTTCATGGGATGTTCATGGGCCAACGTTGTTGTACTTCACACTCGGACTTGCCTAGTCAAGGTTCCTGGTACGACGATGGCACTTTGGCCCCCTACGGCTGGTTAACCGTAGATCTCATTTATTAACTCTAGTGGTCTGAGCTACCACATCCGCAAGTGGCACCGCCAAAACCCCACGTTTCACATCACCTTCACAACTCCCAACATGTTGCAGACGATCATTCCTGAAAGCTGCCGCCTTCACGCCCTATCAAGACTCACGCCAGCACGCATCCACATCGCCACAATCAAAGGTCACAGGACAAGACATCTCGCGATCCTTGTGCTGTAACCTCGACTCTGTCAACATGCAGCAAACCGGAACGCAGCGCCCATTAACCATTATACTGGCAGGCCGCGAACCAACACCACGCGTTTGCTGAGCCCTGTGACTCGCATGCCGAACCACCAGGGTGCATGCATTGTCTTGTGGCGCCCGCAGCCCAACGAACGCTCAGCGTCGTGCAACGTTGCCGTATTTTAGGAGTGTTGCTTTTCTTGTCTCCGTTTGGTCAAAATGGTAGTTTACGGGAATGCCATGGGCTCAGTCTGCCTTCCACGGGCCGCTCCAGCCAATTGAATCAGGCTGGTCCCGCATGTTTTTTCATGGTTACGGGCTGGTTTGGTGCCGCAGAGAACCTTGACTTGTGCAGTTGTCATGTTGCCTTACTTTCGCCCCCCTTTTTTATTTGACCGGAGGGGCCACCGCCTCTTTCTGGTGGCACAAAGCCATTTGCAAGTGAATGCGAGAATTACTTGCTAGGCGAGCGTCTGATCAAGACTCCATCGCTGCGTATGAAATGAAATGTCTGTGCGTGTGAATGAAAGTGCATAAATACACACGTTGATACATGTACATATATCTATATATATATATATAACGTATATACACAGCATATTCGTTTATCTATTCCATTTTTTCACGATGTTCTGGTCATGATAAATCATCATAGCCTTGTCTGAAGCACCAAGTGTGCCTGAGCCGATCGATGCAAATGCATGCAAACGCCTTCCGCAGCTCTGAAGGCCTTCATCATCGACGCAGGGTACCAACATCTGTCGACAGCATGCGCCCCACTGCTACAAGCAACGACGGCTCTACAAGCTGCCGAGGTGCTGAGCGCATGCATAAAGCTGGTCCTTAGGACAACCCCCGAAGTTACACCAGCAGAGAAGCGGCGGCTTTCAAAGGTTTAGGCTGCGGCTTGTTGCGGGATGGAAAAAGGTTCGGATAGTTGAGAAGGTCTCGGCAGAGACCACACATCCGACGAACCTGACGGTGCAGATTGCCACATGTGCGATTGTGCTATAATGCCCTGCTTTCAAAAATGCAAGATACCAGCGAGAGTGGCAGATCAAACTCTGGCCTCGTCCTCCGTGATGTTTGGATTTGCTGCGTGCGTCCGAAGCCACCGCTTCAAGAGCTCGATGAGCCGCGTGCGAGGATCGTGTCGATATGTTCCCATACTTGCAGGGAGCCGACACAACAGCAACGGGCCCCTCCGACAAGCTAGATTAAACAAGAAGTTCATTCGCCAACAAAGACGAAGCACGAACCGGCGCTGTTGGCGCTTGCAGAGATGCAAATCACTGGAACCGTGAAAACTGAGGATCTCTGTGAATGATAGACCCGAAACGGAGGCCAAAAAACTTCGCCGAAAGCGACATCACATGCCTCTGTGGCACGTCGGAAAGCCTTACTTCTATACTCGCTTACGGTGCTAGATTTCAGCGCCCAAATCCCATCGCAGCGGTTTCCAGTGCTCTCTGGCAGCTTAAGGGGCTCTGTTGAGGCTTCGGCTGGGTCCAGCAGCCACGGGGAGTTTCCGAAAACAGGGGACCCTAATATAGTACCCTAACGAGTAGGATCGATCCTTCTTATAAGGACCCCAAACTAATATAACCTAAGTAGTAGGATCCTTCTTATAAGGACCCCCAAAATGAGATACCCCGTATTTTCGGAAACTCCCACCAGCCAGGCCACAGAGGCCCGGCCCTGGTCCTCGCGTAAGCGAAGCCCGTCCTCGTCTGTGCTCGAGTCCCGAGAACCGTGAAGTAGGTGGTCTTTCGGTTTCCTCAAGGCTCTTGCGACAGAAAGGTCCAGGGCCGGAACGGCTCGACTTAAGCAACATCTCGCAAAGATTGCACCATACGTTGATTCAGGCCATGGCTTCCTAATCTCTGCACCCTTGGACACTGCTTCGAAGCGTCTCTGGTACTCGAGGATGACATCCAAAGCTGCGACCAGGTGAGAGTGCTCATATCTCCTTGGCTCGTCGTCACCCAGCTTGGCTCCCCAATGTTGGATGCATTCAAGAAAGCACTGAGTTTCAGACGGAATTCCGCCTCGGTCACCAACACGATGCTACATGCACCAGAACTCGTGCCCCTAAAAAAACTGTTCGGGTGGGGGCTTACCAGGCCGAGCAAACGACGGCAAAAGGCTTCTGCTAAGCGCAGTCAAGCTACGTTCGGTTGATGTGACCGAAAAGTCATCTGCACCTTGGGGCAGCCACTCGAGCCTACTCTTCCACTGCCAAACGCTTGTCTGAATGTTCGAAATTTAAGGCAGTCACTTGCAATGTCAGTGAGTGAGGGGTCCTCCAAATGCTTCTTTACCTCGCGAAGTGGATCGTGTTCGCAGAACCGGACTACGTGCAGTGCACGAGCAATTGCCCATCACCCCTGAAGATTATTAAAACGGCTACACCGGCTACACTTGTAAAGACCTAGGAAGAGGAAGAGGAGGAAAGCCAGTGTGTCGAGCACATGTCCAAGTGCTGCCAGGCCAGCTAAGGACTGCAGAACCTCCAGCTGAGAGCGTGCAAGCGAGCTCCAGTTGCCGGAGCTCGGCATCACCGCCTGAAAGAAAATACATCTAATCAATAGTGAAACTAATGATAATAACCAAAAAGATGAATAACAGCAGTAACAAGTAAAAATTTTGATAATAAACCTAATGGTAGTAATACACTAACCAGTAACTGCCCAATTGGGTCTGCATTCACGCTCCTCAGGTTCCGGCACTCACAAGCGAGGCCATGCTAAGCAACTCTCGCTGGAGCGGGTGTGCTTCAGCAGAAGGCGTTGCTGAGCGTTAACAGAGCCATGCAAAAGGTAGCGCTGGGCT